GAGTGTGTAAAACTATAGTGACCAATATAGTTTTGTTCATATTATCTATTCACCAGAAAAATAAAAGATGAATCACATGTAAAAAGAAATGTCTAATTACTATGTTGTACACCTGCAATTAATATAGTATTGTATGTCAACTGTAATTGAAAAATTAAAAACTTATTTAAAAACTTTTTTTCACAAGTATTGCTATATAATGGTCACCTCCAAGTGGCACTAAGAAAGTTTTTTCCTCCTTCTTCTTTTACATAGCATGGCTAACAAGTGTACTAGGTAGTACAAACATGTGGACTTTTATAGACATTACTAGCAGTCCAAAATTCCAACCCATCCCCTCCCTGATGATGATGAATCTTGCCCAATGTTAACTATTATCCTAACTTCTAATAGCAGTGACAAGATTCACCTTTTTGAAAATAGTATGTAAATAAAATCATACATACATATTTTTTCATCTGGCTTTTTTTACTCAACATTATGTTTCAGAGACACATTCATGTTACTGGATTCATTCATTTTAATTGCTATAGAGTAGAGGTTGTTGAACACCACATTTTCTCATTTATACATTACGTATGGCTGCTATCTCAATATAACAGCAAAGTTGAGACCATATACCCGCCTAAAATCCAAAGATTTATGTAGCTGTTCCTTGACAGAAAAAGCATGCCAAAATCTGCTACATAGCATTAGTTCTCAAACTTTAATGTGCAACAGCATCACATACAGGGCTTGTTAAAACACAGACTGCTGGGCCCTAAGCCCAGAATTTCTGAATAGATATACGGTGGGTCCAATATTTGCATTTCTAACAAGTTCCTTGTTGATGCTGGTGTTACCACTAGGGGTAAGGGAAGAAAAAACTTTGAGAACCAATGTTGTAAAAAGTATTTAAATGCAATTTATTCCCCACTGTACTGTCGACAGACATTACACTCATTTCTAATTTTGGGCCATTAAAAATAATGCCATTTTGATAATTTCTGCACAAAACTTTTGGTGTATGTTTACATGCATTCTGAGAGTGAAAACACCAGCTTATAATCTACACTCGTATAACCTCAGAAGATACTTCCTAACAACTTTCTAAAATGGTTATACCGAACTATGCACTCACCACCAGTGTATGGGACTTCCTCATGCACAGTATCTCCCTAATTCTGCTTTTCATTTTAGCCATTCTGGTGAATATCTAGGGGTATCTCATTGTGGTTTTAATTTTTACTTCCCTGGTGACTAATAAGAAATCTTCTCCATTTTCACTACCTCACATGCCTATATTCATGATAAAAAACTCTAGAAAACATCCTTGCCTTGCTCTCAATCTTAGGGGGAAAGTATTCAGCCTGTCTCAATTAACTATGACATTACCTGTAAATTTTTTGTGAATGTCTTTTATCAAGACATTCCCTTCTATTTCTAGTTCACTAAGGGATTTCTTTCTTTTAACATGAATATATATGTAAGTTTATCAAGTATATTTTATACTTCTATTGAAATCACCATGAGGTTTTTTGGGGGTTTTTTCATTTGGGTAACAGATGAATTAAATTGATTGAAGGTTAAATGTTAACTCACATCAAAAAAATCCTCCACTTGGTTCTAACATATTACTCTTTTATATTAAATCTTGCTGAAAGTAATTTGCTAATATTTGTTTAAAAATTTTTAATCTTTGTTTAGGAGTAAAATTGACTTTAATTCCCACTTCTAATATCCTTGACAGATTTGAATATCAATGTTCTCTTGGCTCCCTAAAATGAGTTGAAAATTGTCGCTTTTTCGCTATTTCACATTACAATTTATGTCAAACTGGTATTATTTCTTCTTTCATGTTTCACTGGTGAAGCCATCTTAGCTTACAATGTTCTTTATGGAAATATTTTTAATTACATATTCAATTTTTTAATAGTTACAGATTTTAAATTTGTATTGCCTATATGTCAGTTTTGGAAAGTATTTTTTCATATTATTTCATAAGCCTACTTATAAACATAAAGTTGTTTCAACTAATGGGGTCTCAACCTAAGCTTGTGGAGGTTGCCAGGGGGCTCCTCTTTGCTGTTGAATCTGGAGAAAATCCTGTTCAGCTTCTCAGATTCTCAAGCCTTGACTCCTTCAGAATCAGTAGCTCTCTACCAGAGTAGAGAAGTCCACAAATGTTGGGCTCATCTCCCTGAGTTTCCTTCTTACAGATCTAAGAGCTGTAAAACTTTACTTGTTTGAAGGTACTCAAATATATTGGCAAGTTTGATCAAAATGTCCTAGTCTGACATCCCCAGAAGTGAAATAGACAAAAGAAAAATTCACTAGACTATCAACTCCTCAAATAAGATCCCTGCACTCAAAGTTTCTATCTTCAATACCAAGACAGTGCCTGACACTATCATTACTTTACTTATTGACGAAACAATGACCTGAAGGATAATTCTAAGCAAGTAAAGGAACTAAGAAGAGAGTACTATTAAAAATAAGGACAAGAAATATATTTTCAAATCACAGAATCCTCTTTTGGTCTCTCTCTTATTCCACATTCTCTCTAACAAAACCCTGATTCAGGATTCAGTCACTCACCCACACTACTTCATTTGGCTCATAGATTATGCCCTTCCCTCAGTTCACTTCTCTTCAGTCCATCTTCCCCATTTCCAATTCAGATCCTCTGCTAAAGATACTTCAAATGCCTCCTCATTCTCTAAAGAAAAAATTCTAATCTTCTCTTTATGGTATACAAGGCACAAAACTATCTGACCTTAGGCTATCTCATGAAACTTACCTTTCTTCCTGCCTACATTCTACATTTTGTATCCCATATTTTAGCTACACAGAACTATTTTCATTTCATCAAAAGTGCTGTGCCATTTTATGTCTCACAGTTTTAAGGATATTGTTATCTTTGTTTAAAATATCTTTTCACCACTGACAATCTGATAAACTCAACCTTCTATTCAAAATTATACTCCAGATTCATCCTTGGGAAATTTTTGCAGACCTTCAGGAAGTCCTAATCAACTTCACCCTTTATATCACTACTTTACCCTATGTCTAATTATAGCACTTACTATCCTACATTGCAATTATTACATCTTATGCACTTAAGTACTACTTTTGAACAAACTGTAAAGGTGTACTTCAATAATATCTTCAAGATGTTTTCTACCAAAGAATCTTTGCTAATTTTCTATTTCTCCATTTTCAAACATTTTTATCCTCTAAACTGATATTGTATTCAAATTAATTTAACATATAATCACTGGATACCCATCTAATACCAGGTACCACTGATAAATAACACTTAATATTTAAAATGCTTTAAATCTCTTATTCCCAGCAAATCCACTTTAAAAGAAAAAACATGAGCAGAGAAAGAATAAAATAGATAATAAACAGGTATAAGGTTTCTAAACTTTCCAGAAAGTACCTCAAAACCATATGCATTACATCACAAATTACAAAAGAGAAAACTAAGATGTAAAAGAAAAAACATATATGCCTTAGTTTGTTTTCAGATCCTGTAATTCCACAACACTGCCTAAAAATATAACATTCACAGTAGAAAATCAATGAGAATCAACTACACCCAAGTAGTTATGAACACATTTTTATAAATGGTTTTATTTTTGTATATGTTTTTAGGTAAATAAGGCATTTCTTATGGATCCTCCATGTCTAAGCTAGACTTCTAGAAAAGGTAAGAATAATTTCAGTTCACAATTAACAGAATGCATTTCTTCTTCAAAAGCAATTTAAGCAGTCTTCTGTTTAATGATCTACAGAACAGGTGATGCTTTCCTTTGTAAAATACAGAACACAGTCAACAAAATGCATTCCTTTATCCTCCAACACATACTCATTTTCAAGAGCTAAAAATTCTAATATGGCACTAACTAGTTAAAAGAACACTGGACTAAGTCAAGAGACCAATCCCAACTCCGCTTCTGATGAAAAACAAAAATTATAGAACCAGAGTGTTAAGGTTTGAATATTTGCTTTAGGCATCATCTCTAAAACTAGAATAAAAATAATAGCACCTGCCTATGAAACAGTAGGCAGTACATAATGCTAGCTAATATTATAGCAAATAATACTGTCTTTTAACAGCTCTATGGAAGAGTCTAATTAAAAAGTCATGTGTTAAAATCTTTAAGCATTCATTAAAATGACCAGACCAATGCTGCCTCTGCTAGCATACTCAGTTCTTATTACCCTTTAAGCAAAATTGAGGTAGGACAGAAAGCAATGATAGGGAAGATATTTTTTTTTCTGTTTTGTAGGCCTGTTATGGTCTTTCTGTTCATTTTATTTGTTCACCATTTCCCTTGAGTTGAATGTAAACCCTGCTTCTGCTTATGTTCTCATACAAACTGAAATACTGTGCCACAACCTTAACTTGTTACTGACTTCAACTTGGCTTGGAGAAAGCCTCCACATTTTCTTTTACTCTGTATTTAATCTAAGAATTCTCATGGAAACCAATGGCTCACTCTTCCTATACTAAATCAATTTGAGCTTCTCACAAGAAATATCTAGTTACCAATTTTGGTCTCCCTATACTGTCCTGTTTACTATTAGCCACACTCTGAGTTGATTAGGGATTGCATTAATAAGCTCCTCTATCCCACTCTGGAACTAAGAGGCCAAAGCAATCAAACAAGCATATTTTGCATTACACAGTGACCAAGCTCATGTCATCAATTAAAAATCAACAACAGAAACCCAAAACAAACCCACCCATTTTTCATTCAAAGGTACAATCAAACAAGCACATATTATTAAATCTACTTGGGACCTACTAAAAAACAACAACAACCCAGTATGATACAACTCAAAACCTGTCATTTGCTTACACTAATATGAAAACTACAATATCTATATTGAAATCCAAGATTTAAAACACTTATTGTGACTATGACTCAAAAATTTATGTGTATGTATGTATGAAGGTGGGGACTGAAGGAATGTCAGGGGGGCAAGTATATATACATTTAGGTACTTACTTGCTCCAATTTAAAGATGTGTTGATTAAAGTAGTGCTGTAAACGTTCATTAGCAAAATTAATACAGAACTGTTCAAAGCTGTTATTTTCATAATCTTCAAACCCAAAAATATCAAGAACACCAATAGACAAAGTCTGTAAAACAGGAAAAAATTATAGTTAAAAAAATGATGCTCAATTTTAGTTCATGAATATCATTTACAATATAAGGAACAAAATGCTCAAAGTTCTACAGCAGTGGAGAATAGATTGGGGTGGGGGGGATGGCTAATGTTGAACCAAATGAGCACAAATAAAAAGCATTTTAGCTTTGGCTGGTGTAGCTCAGTGGACTGATTGCCGGCCTGTGAAGCAAAGGGTCTCCAGTTCGATTCCCAGTCAGGGCACATGCCTGGGTTGCAGGCCAGGTCCCCAGCAGGAGTCACACAAGAGGCAATCACACATTGATGTTTCTTTCTTTCCCTCTTTCTCCCACCCTTCCCCTCACTCTAAAAATAAATTAATTTTTTAAAAAGCATTTTAGTTCTCATCATCTTCATCTTTTCTTTTTATCCTATTTTAGAAATCCAAAAATTTAACACATAAGATCCACTGATTATTCTACATAAATGGACAAAGCAGGGTTAGCAGCCTGTTATCTCAATCTCAGAAATCCCTGAACTCCAAGAGTAAAAGGAATGGAAACAACAAGTTATGAGAAGACAAAAGTTGCTTCAATAAAACTAGGTCACTCCTATCTATGCCTTGTTATTAACCAAAAGGACCATTCAATTTCTACTTTGACTTCCATATCCCAATAGATTTCTGCTTTAAAAACCAAGCTGACAAGAATGCATAACCAAGCCCTGGCTGGCGTAGCTCAGTGGATTGAGATCGGGCTGGGAACCAAAGTGTCCCAGGTTCGATTCCCAGCCAGGGTACATTCCTGGGTTGCAGGCCATAACCCCCAGCAACCGCACACTGATGTTTCTCTCTCTCTCTCTCTCTCTCTCTCTCTCCCTCTCTTCCCCCCGCCCCCGCCTGCCTCCCTTCCCTCTCTAAAAATAAATAAATAAAAATCTTAAAAAAAAAAGAATGCATAACCAGCTTCGTGCAAGCCAGAAACAACACTGAATATCAGAATATATGGTTTCTTGAGGTTAAAATTTTAATTTTTATTTAAAAAAAATAGGCCCTAGCCAGGATGGCTCAGTTAGCTGGGCATCATCCCACAAAACGAAGGGTCACTGGCTTGATTCCTGGTCAGGGCACATGCCTAGGTTGCAGATTCAGTCCCTGGTTGGTCCACATGCCAGAGGCAACCAATCTATGTATCTCTCTCACATCAATCTCTCTCTCCCTCTCTTTCTCCCCACCTTCCCCTCTCACTAAAATAAATAAATTTTTAAATGTCTTTTAAAAAACTGCACAAGGTTTGTAATGTTAAATAGTTCTAAAGGAATTATTTTTTAAAAACAGGAATCTCTCCTCCATCCTCTATTTCTGCACCCTAGAGTCAACTACACTCAAATATTTTAGCTGTTTGGTATGGAATAGTATAGTATAGTATAGTATAGTATACAAATGCTTATTTTTTAAATAATTTTTGTTTTATTTATTGATTTTAGAGGAAAGGGAGAAAGAGAAAGGGAGAGGGAGAAAGAGAAGGAAAGAGACAGAGAGAGACAGAGACACTGATTTGTTGTTCTACTTATTCATGCATTCATTAGTTGATTCTTGTATGTGCCCTGACAGATCTAATGCACAACCTTGGCATATAGCACAGGTGGCAAACACAAGGCCTGCAGGCTGAATCTGGCCCTCCACCTTGTTTTATACAGCCTGGTAACTTGTTTCTACCTGGTGGCAGTGCTGAGCTCCTTGCCCCTAGTTAAGGAGCAGTTACGTATATACAGTCCTAAAATTAGATTAGGCCCTTTGAAGGCAACCACAAGGATAACGTGGCCTCCAGCAAAAAATGAGTTTGACACTCCTGGCATACAGGGATGAAGCTCTAACCAACTGACCTAACTAATTGGCCCTTGGCCAGGGCCAAATATTTATTCTTCTCTTTCTTGATATCTCACTTATAGAAATTATCTTCTAACTTCTTACTGTGGATGACAAGGATTTAACTCTAATATACCAAAACCAACATTCTTCTCACCACTCCACCTCATTCTTGAAATACAGTTGAATGACAATTTTGGTTAAATGAAAACAATTTTTCTCCACTGGTGCTAAGACAGATACCAAACAAACTGATGTAATGAGTTATACATAGTAAGACATTTTTAAAAGTCTCCAGTAAGTGATTTGTTTCCTATAATTATCTAAATTTATAAAATTCAGTTCTATTTCCTACTATCCCCCACCCAAAATAAAGTATTTTGTTTAATTCTGCTGACTAAATTCTAAGTCCTTATGAAAATAATAGCCTTCAAAAATAAGTCAATTTGGTAAATTAGATTACAATGAAAATTAATACTGTAACTATGGGCTTACACAAAGCATGAAAAGTTCAGATAAATGCAATTTTACATTTAAATTAAGTAATAAAGATGACATTTCTTTTTATTTTTTCCTTTTCTCCATGTCCCAGCACTTGATGACAGAACTATTGGAAGCCACTAACACCAAGAGGGCTGGAGCCCTTTCCCTTGGCCTCAGTACATTACAGGAACCAGGACAGTACACATGATCCCCACCGAGAAGAGGAGGATTAAAGATGACATTTCTAGGCCTGGGCCAGGTAGTTCAGATGGTGAGAGCATCATCCGGATAAGCCAGGGTTGTGAATTGGATCCCCAGGCAGGGAACATACAAGAATCAACAAATGAATGCATAAATAAGTGGAGCAACAGGCTGATTTCTCTCTGTCCCTGTCTGTTTCTCTCTTTCCCTAACCCCTCTAAAATCAGGTTTTTTCAATGTTAAAAAATTTTTAAATGTCTAAAATTTTTTTTTAAAGGATGACATTTCTAAACAGCCTGAAAAGGTAGACTATTCTATGAAAGTTCGCAGGAAATAAAAATGAAAATAATTTTTAAATAATTAAAATTAAATTCTAAAATGTACTATATTAAAAACAAATTCCAATTGGAAAAAAGTACTGAATATAAAACATTACATTCGCCTGGCTGGTATGGTTTAGTGGACTGAACACCGGCCTGCGAACCAAAGAGTCGCTGGTTCGGTTCCTAGTCAGGTCACATGCCTGGGTTGCAGACCAGGTCCGTAGTGCGGGGAGTGCAAGAAGAGACAACCACACATTGATGTTTTTCTCCATCTCTTTCTCCCTCTTTTCCCCTCTGTCTAAAAATAAATAAATAAAATCTTAAAAAGAAACAAAACAAAAAGATTATATTCTAAAAGTATGAGAATATTATATAATCTTGGGCTGAAGAGGTCTTTCTATGTAAGAAAAATAAATAAAGCAAGCCCAGGACAATAAACAAAGAGAATATCAGAATTCACTGCACAAAAGTTTAAAACATACGGGCTTAAAAAACACATGAACAAATCTTTACAATCAAGAGGAAATATATGTAATGTATGTCAAACTTAGGTCTCTACAATATCCACAATGATACCTAAAGAGGATAACAAAAAATAAATATAAAAATAGGAAACACATATAAAAAAATAAAATAGAGAAAACATGAGAAAATGCTCAATATTCATCTATCATTAAAAACATTGGCACCTTGGCTGGTGTAGCTCAGCTGGTTGGAGTATCATCCAGTAAGCCAAAAAGTCACAGGTTCAATGCTGAATTGTGGCTCAGTCTCCTGTGGGAGCATGTGCAAGAGGCAACCAATTGATGTTTCTCTTCCTCTCTCTCTTCCTCCCTTCCCCTCTCTCTAAAATCATTAAGTGTGTCCTCAGGTGAGGATAAAAAAAAAAAAACAAACACTGGCAACAAAATGGGCTAGTCCTCCTTATCAGATTAGCAGGTGAAAATACTGGTAACATCCATGTGAGGAAAGGAAATAGGGACTTTCATACACTATTAGTAGAAGTGTATAATGTTTTTTTGAAAAGCCAGAGTATTTTTTGAAAAGGCAAATTAGCAGCAGCTACCAAAATTTTAAAATCTATATATCCTTAAATCCATCAATTCATTTTAAGGATTTTTGTCCTAGAGAAATGTACATAAAGAATATTTGTTACATTATCATTTTAACAATAAAACAAATGAAATATACTTTTAATGGGTGAATTTATGGTGCACATCCAAACTATATATTACAGTTGTTAAAAAATAATGAGGCACACATAGATACAGGGAACAGACAGACAGCTGTCTGAAGGGAGGGGGTTTGGGGGACTGGGTGAAAAAAGTAAAGGGATTAAGCAAAAAAAAAAAAAAAAAAAACACCACCTCATAGACACAGACAACAATATGGTGATCACCAGAGGGAAATGGGGGTGAGGAGAGGTAGAAGAGGGTAAAGGGAAGATAAATGGTGATGGAAGGAGACCTCATTAGAAGGTAGTGAACACACAATACAATAGATGATGCATACTTTAAACCTATATAATTTTCTTAACAATCACTCCAATAAATTCAATTTTTAAAAAATTGAATATAAAACATTATACTCTAAAAGTGTAATAATAAAAAATAGTAAGGTAGAAATATTTTTCAAGACACACTAAGTAAAAAAAAATTACAAGTTGTAGAAACAATACAGATAGTGTGCATTAAAGGGGTTCTGTGGAAAGTAACCTAACAAGGCGATTTGCTCAAAAATTCCTAATTGGGCAGACCATGGTTGAGTAGTCATGCCCCAGGCCTAGTACTTCTTTAGTGAAAAGCTTTCAGCCAGCCTGTCCACTGTTCTTGTGCATTTAGGCTAACATACCTTTGAAATGCCGTAAGTAATACCCCTCCAAGGGGGTGTTAACCCCCAAGAAAGCACATAATCTCAACTATCCTGTTGCTTCCTCCCACCTTCATGTAATCTTTCTTTTTTCTCTTCTAATTTCAAATGCATAGAAGAACCCACAAAACCACTATACTCCACAGCATTTGAGATCCTGCTATTCCCTGGCATATGGTGCCAGTTTGGCTCAAATGATCCCGTAAAAATTTCTCAACAGGTTTGGACATTTCTTACCTTGACAACAATGTAATTGTATTTTTATGTTTAAAAGCAACACTACATGTGCATCTACAGAAATATAAGTACATAAGAAAAAATGTCTGCAAAGACACAGACTGCAAAGAACAGTTCCTCTGAATAGGGTAATAAAAAAAGAAATAAGGAAGGAAACAGCAGGGAATACAGATAAAAAATGATTCTTATGACTTTTATATAATTCTGTCTTTTTAAATTTAATGTATTAACCATTTTATTGACACAGTTTTCGAGGAAAAATATATAATCTATGGATTAAATACCTTGGTATTTTGCTCCAAATCTTTACTATTCAGAAGTGCGTGATTAATCCGAAAAACTATCCAGTCAAATAGGGCGCTATATAAAGACTTAGCCATGGAGTTCCTCACTGTCACAGCCTGAAAAAAAAGAAAGGGTTAGGAGTACAAGTGAAAATGGCAATAATTTGACTAAGATATTACAACAAAGTATGTTTTACTTTCATTCAAGAAAAGAAAGCTTACTATCACAAATTATAAATTAATTTTTCTCTCAATATAAATAGCCTATAATTGAAGTTTTCTATATACACTCATTAACTTAGTCCAACTCAAAGAATCCAGGCTAAAACTAATTGAAAGATAAGTGGAAATGCAGGTCACTCAGTTCAAAATAGTTTTACTGAAAAGCTGGTAAAGAAGGTATACTAGAAAGTTTACAAACAAATGAACCTTGCCAGCTGAAGTGGGGAAGACTATTTACAGACAAAGCAATAAATCTGTTAGCAAAAAGATATCGGCTACCTGCAGAATCCTAGTCAGACTCTTAAAATATTATCATAACAGCAACACAATTACATTCCTGGTTGTCTTCAGCTTGTTGTTCTTGTCATTGATAATAATCTCTACAATTTCTCCATCCCTACACAAAATAACAATTCTTTCATTATGGAGTTATGCAATTTATTTTCCCTGCACTTCAAATTTTTCCCAGTTTATGTAAACTCTGTACCATCTGCTAAATTTTTCTGTAAACCTGAAATTGTTTTAAAACATAAATTCTACTAAAGAAAATTCAACATTTAAAAAGTACTACAACCTAAAAGTGGGGCATGTTATCTTAGAGAGTCTTGTCTTAGCACTGAGGATACAATAATTTATGTATTTATCACCTAGGGACTATTTGGAAGCTTGTATATTCAGGTATATATTTATATTCAGTTCTGAAGTTTATAGGAAGTGGAGAGTAATGATTAATAACTTGTCTATCTTACAATCCCAGTTTCTATACTTACTCTGTGTGACCTTAGTCAAACTATTTAAACTCTTAGGCTACAGCTTAGCTTATACGTTTGCAAAATGAAGACAATACCATTACCTATACCATGCAGGTGATGAATGAATTTCTAAATTACAGTAAAAAAAAATATGAAAGCTTTAAATTTATGCACACACACACACACAAATACTAGCTAAACAACTAGCAAAGAGAAGACAGGTATCAATTTTCATCTTTAACATTATCAACTCAAAAATAATTTTAAAATGTTTACAAGTTCTGAAAGAAAAAGAAATGTGGCCCTAGAATTCTATACTTAGGCGAGTTACAACAAAGCTGTCTTTAAAATATCAATAAAATTATAGTAGAATATATAGAAAGAACTTCCATTTTATTTTTCCCAGAGGGGAAAAAGAGAAAAAGATAATCTGATCATACTCAGCGAAAGTAAAACACTTTGAATATAAATAAGCATAAGATATAAAAAAGAAAAAAGAAAAAAGAAAACACATTGGTTATCACAATATAAATGGGTTGAATATTTTTAGTTAAAAGACAGACCTTTATATTATATTAAAAGCTAAATCCAACCTCTTCATGGCTTATAGTACTATTTTCTTAAAACACAGTCAGATAGAATCCACATTTACCAAAGTATGACAATATCTATTTACCCTATAACTCCCAATATATATGCTTTCAGCCTCTGTTCTCTGAAATGCAGTCCTATCAAACCTTAATCTCAATAAGCCCAAATACTAATTAATATTTTCCCACCCAAATAAGACCTCAATTAGTGTCTTCTATCTCACTGAAAATAGTACCAATATAATTACAGTTGTATGATCCAGAAAATTAGGATGGATCCTTGATATTACTTCTTCCTCCTTGCTTCCCAGTAAGCAAACCACTGCCAGATTCTATTGATTGTAGCATCTAAATTTTTCTTGTTTTAAATATATTCATTTCTATCAATATCCCACCATTCTAGACAAAGCAGCAAACATCTTTCTCCTCAGTACCACTACAGCCTCCACATTCACTTTTATCCTCTGTTTTTGAATCCAAAGATGATCCTCAAGATTCCCATCTGCTGTGGTACATATTCTGTATCACATGTACGGAACTTAAGTGCAGGCAGGACTGTAAATATGATGGATTTCACTCCCCTAATTGTCTTATGTTATATGACAAAAAGTGAAGATTACATTTTAAAATTTAATTATGGCCCAATATCAGCTGATATTTTTAGTTAATCATAGGAAGATTATCCTGGGTAGAGCTGACTTAGAGAAAGCTCTTTAAAAATAAACTGATTTTGCCCCAACTGGGTAGCTCAATTGGTTAGAGCATCATCTCAATACACCAAGATTGTGGGTTCAATCTCTGGTCAGGGCACATACAAGAATCAACCAATGAATGCATAAATAAATGGAACAACAAATCAGTGTTTCTCTCTCTCTCTCTCTCTCTTCCTCTCCCCTGCCACCTTCTTTTCTCTCTCATAAAAAAAAAAAAAAGGTTTTTTTAAATCAATTTCTTCATCAGAGATTCTCTTGCTGGCCTAGAAGAAGCCAACTGCCATGTTGTCAGCAGGACCACATGTCAGGAAATGGCAAGTAGACTCTAGCTGCTGAGAATGGTCCCAGACATTCAATAGAAAGTAGATTCTCAAGTGTTACAACTGCAAGGAACTGAATCCTGTGGACAATCTGTGAACTTGGAAGAGGATGTTAAATTTCAGATGACATCATAGCCTTGACAGACAACTTGACTTCGCCTGGGAACCCTGAACCTAATGCCTAGCTAACCTGTGCCCAGATTTAATAATCCATGGAAACTGTCAGATAATAGTATGTATTTTATCAAGTGGCTAAGCCTATTATATACTCACAGAAAACAAATATACTCTCTTCCAAATGACTCTTCACACACCTTTTTTGTTTAAAATATTTTAAGAGCTTTCCATTGCTCTTCAGGTGAAATACTGAATTCATTTTATACCTAATGCGTAACACATTTCTGAGCACAAAGTTTTCAAATATTTCTAAATAAGTACACTAAACAAATGTAAATAAAAATAAAGCAGAAACTATAAAAACAATCTTAGAAAGTTTAAAGTCAAAAATGTAAGTAAATATAAATGTTTTATAATGAAAAATGTTGTTAAAGAAAATAGATAAACAGTGACCATTTATGTAAAAAAGGTTTGTTATTTTTCTGTTATTTAGAAAGGGGCTCTCAAAGTTGGAGACTATTAAATATGACATAAGATACCTGACATAATGAAGAAATGTAGACTTGTAGGCACAGTTAGGGGAGACCCAAAGTGGGATAAATAAATCAATGTCAGCCCACAAAGCATTCCCTACAGTTCAGTCACTATTTTCCCACCCCTGTATATTCTAATCTCATATTGCTATCCTATTTTTATAATTGTCATAGTTTGATTTCTTATCACTTTAATAAAATTGCACTATAAAATAGATTCCTGCTTCTATACACCTGATTAGTACAGTAAGAATAATGGCTCACTATAGCAAAAAAACCTCACCTGGAAGCTTTCTTATACAGATAATATTTAACATCATGGGACTAGGTAAAGTAATCTAAATAAAGAATATAAGAAGGAAAGACAAAGACTGTTGTAGGGCACCCTATCTTTCAAAGGTCAGAAGGAAAGAAAGAGTGAACAGAAAAACTGAAAAAGTAAACCAGGCGAGTTTACTTGGCAGTGAACTGCCAAGAGAAACAAAACTGCCTCAAGAAACTATAATCAACTAGGTCAAATACTACTCATTTATAATTCCACCTACCATCAATTCACCCCATATTAGTATGAAACCTAAGAATGGTGAACAAATTAGGATCTTTAAAAAAAATGAAAGCCTATTGCTACTATCACATTTGACTTTAAGTTTCCAAGTTGAATCTAAGTTCACAAATTCCAAAACCCTAGAAATATTTCAGTCAACACTTCTTTCTGGTTGTTATTTTCACTCTGTTAAGAGAAACAACACAAACCCAAACTTCTAAAAATGTTCAGAGTATTTCAATCCAAAGAAAATCTCTTCGTACCTCTGCCAGCTTGTATGGTAAAATAAGCTTCTCTCCCACTGTCACAGTCTTCCTTGTAACTAATGCTTCAAATAGCATCTCTTCTTTAACCTATACAGCAGAAAAGTAAATTCAATATATGATACATGACAATGGTTTGAATTAAGCCACATAGAGAAAAAATGAGATCAGCAAATATACAACAGAGGAAAAACAAAGACAATACACTGGGAATTATAAATATTGGCCTCAGGGGAATGTTAAGTGTCCCACACACTCCACTCCCCCCACCCCCAAAAAAGAAAACAAGGGGTAAATAAGACAGATGCGTCTTTTTAAATCAAAGTTCTCTCTCTGGTTATAATTAAAAAAAAAAAATGTTTCATTGTGCAGAACATGGGAAATACAGAATAGTACAGAAAACATTTTAAGATGATCAACCATAATGCCACAACCTGGAGAAAAGGAATGAACAGTGACAATACTTCTGGAATTCCAAGAAAATTGCAATGAGTACTATTTTAGGTTTCAGATATTCATTTTTATTTACAGATATTAAACTTCAAGATAAAGGTGATGCTTCCTTTGTTCTCTCTAGAGGCCAAAACTATCATAAATATGTATAATTTCAGTTCATATATGTATACATATATACATACATGTTAGATGTATTAATAAATATTGTATTATACTGTCAAGTGTATTTAACTCTTATCTGTATGGTATCATATTCCTATGTTTTTGAAATCTAGATTGATAACTTAGATCAAGCGTATTCATTTTAACTGTTATACAGCATCCCCGTATATTAATTACCACAGTGTGTGATCCATTCTACTTTTAGGCACTACTTTAATTTACGATTTTACACTTTTTGAAAATAAACTGCAGTGAATATTCCTGCACATGATTTCAAGAGTTTCTCTGAAGTATCATACATAAAAGTGGAATTACCAGATTGTGTACACGTTTTCAGCTTTATAGGAATATTGTCAAACTCCTATACACAGTTTTTGCCAATCAGCTCTCTCAGCAGCAGCACCGAGAGTTTCCTATTTCTTCAAACCTTGACTATACCTGGTATTCTCAGACTTTTGATTTTTGCCACACTGGTGAGCATGAAATAGTAAAACAAGGGTATTTTATAAAAGTATCTGTACATAATACATTTTTTTCATAAAATTTTATGTAGATAATATAAAATATTTCAAAAAACATAAGACTACAAGGAAAAAATGGGTTACAAAACAAGAAAGTGAGGTACTAGTCAGTAGAGTCCCTAATATCAGCAATTCATGACAGATCTATCCTTTTTTAAAACATGATTGCGGCCCTGACTGGCGTAGCTCAGTGGATTGAACGCGGGCTGCGAACCAAAGCATCGCAGGTTCGATTCCCAGTCAGGGCACATGTCTGGGTTGCAGGCCAGGTCCCCAGCAACCACACACTGATGTTTCTCTCTCTCTTTCTTCCTCCCTTCCCTCTCTAAAAATAAATAAATAAAATCTTAAAAAAACAAAACAACAACAAAAAATGATTGCACCATAAAGAAAATATACCTTTGTTTGACCAATCCTCAAATTCTAAAAAATAAAAACAATTTGAGGCACATTACTTTCACAAAATGTAGTAAAACTAAAAATGTACAATTAAAAATAAAACTTGAACATTTTATATGTATTTAAAATATTTTGATAAAATAGATTAATGGCAGATTACACAAAAATAATAAAACTAAGAAAACACATATATGATTAAATACCATTATTATACTGTGAGGTGTATTTCCACACTTAAGCAGTTATTATTAAAAATGAACATTTAAAAATTGAATGCTCCATGCAGTAGCATCAAGAAATTTTTCTATAAGAACAAATGGCAACAATGTGGAGCAGAGGTTACTTCCATACACTTGCATATACTGGTACAAGCACTGTAGGGTTATTTGCCAATATCAGTAAACCTCAACATGTATATATACTCTAACCCGAAAGTCTACTTCTTAAACTACACCCTAGAACAGCAATTTTCAACCAGTGTGTCACAAGAATTTTCAAAACATGCAATACCTGACTATTTATTATAATGTCAGGGATACTTAGCTCTCTTCCCTTAGATTGTCAAATAAAAAAATGACAACAGCTGACCCAATGATAGCCATCTGGTTTGAATGAATCAAAATTACACCTATTTTTTTTTTTGGTCAGATCAGCAAAGAATATATTTTTCTGTGTGCCACAGAATTTTGGCAATGAGTTTATGTGTGTCATGAGATGAAAATGGTTGAAAATCGCTGCCCTAAAATAATTCTCACACATGTTAACGGGAAGACATGTGCAAGAATGCCTATCATAGTACTATCTATAAATACAAAATTATAAACAACCTCAATCACCACAAAAACAGATAAATTGTTATATTTTCTTCATATAATATAATTTTAAACAGCAGCTAAAAAGTATCTAGAATCAGCACTGAAAAATTTCAAGAACATAATATGGAATGAAAAAGTCAAGTTTTAGAATGACGCATATAGTATGGTATTTATATAAAGTCTGAAAACATGCAGAACAAAACCATATATTCTTTATAGAAACATCTATCTATTCTGAAAATATAAAAACAAACAAATGGGAATGATGAACACCAAATTCATAATAGTGTTTACTTCTGGCAGGGGTAGAACACAGAGCGGGCTTCAATTATATGCAGTATTTTATTACTTGTGTGAGACTATAAGTATACAGGTGTTAAAGATATTATTTTCTATGTATTATGTGCTGAAAACATTTCATAATCTAACAGAGAAAAAAGAGAAGAAAATATGTTAAAAGAGAAATTAATACATAAAATGGTAGAACAGTTAAATCTAAAAGTCCATTATTTGAAAATAACACAGAAAGCTAACACTATAGAAAAAAATTTTTATTAACAAAGTATTTACGAAGAACACAAAATAATACATTTTAAACATTTAATCAGCACATGACTTCCTATAAAAACATGAATTATCAATATTAATTCAAGTCAGACTTGAAAATCCTAAAAAATTAGTTAACAGAAAATGAACTGAAAAAGCACCAAATATGGTCACAGGGCTGATATTTCTCCAGTCTTTGTGGAACATAATATTCACTGCTAATTATTCTTTTATACACACACACACACACACACACACACACACACACACACATATATGTATATATATGTTTATTGATTCTAGACAGAGAATAAGTGGGGTGGAGGGAGGCAAGAAACATCAATGTGAAAGAAAGGCATGGATTTCTCACTTCCCATAGGGGATCAAACCCATAACTCAGGTATGTGTCCTGACCAGGGAATTAAACCCCCAACCTTTTGGTGTATGGGATGACACTCTAACCAACTGACCTACACAGGCAAGGACTAATAAATCTTTTTTTATTTGTTTTTAACTTTTTAAAACTGTTTTCAATTACAGTTTACATCCAGTATCACTGTTTATCAGTTTCAGGCATACAGCATACTGGTTAGACAATCATACACTTTACAAAGTGTTTCCCCTGATATTTCCAGTACCCTACTAGAAATATTATTATTGACTACATATTCCCTATGCTGTATTTTACCTCCCCGTGACTATTTTTAACGACCAAATTGTACTTCTCAATCCCTTCCCCTTTTCACCCAGTCCCCCACCCCCACCCCCACCCCCATGGGCAACTATAAGTCTGTTCTCTATATCTAGGAGTCTGCTTCTGCTTTGGTTGTTCACCTACATTGTTGTTTCGATTCCACATTTAAGTAAAATCATCTGGTATTTGTCTTTCTCTGACTTATTTTACTTAGCATAATACCCTCTAGGTCCAGATTCTTTTCTTAACTGCAGAAAAAAATTATAAAAAGATGAGGAACTATCTAACTCAATTTAAGGTGTTGGCTTAATGTTAGCACTAAAACCTGATAATGATCACACACAGATTTACACGCTATGCACAATCACACAAAACACCACTAATTTTGCTTCTATTTGATGAACATCCTAAGGAAAATACTACTGAATTCACGATATATAACTTTCCAAATATTCTTAGTTGTGTGTGTGTATATATAACTTTTAATATAAGAAAACTTTAATACAAAATAATTAGCAATGGGCTCAATATCCAATCTGCACTTCTCACAATCACCTAATTGAGAAGCTGATACATATGTTAAATAACCATTATTTAGCCCTAGCCAGTGTGGCACACTTGGATGGAATGTTGTCCTATAAACTGAAAGGTTGAGGGTTTGATTCCTTCTAAGGGCACACACCTAGGTTACAGGTTTGATCCCTGGTCAGAGCACTGATGAATCAACCAACTAATGTATGAGACAGCCAATCGATGTTTCTCTCCCTCCCTTCTAATTCTCTCTAAAAATCAGTAAGCTTGTCCTTGGGTGAGAATTTTTTTAAAAAACATTATTTATACTGTTTCAACAGGTATAAAAATATATTCAAAAAACAGCCCTGGCTGGTGTGGCTCAGTGGACTGAGTGCAGGCCTGCGAACCGAAAGGTTGCTGGTTCAATTCCCAGTTAGGGTATATGCCTGAGCTGCAGGGCAGGTCCCTAGTTGGGGGCATGTAAGAAACAACCAATTGATGTATCTCTCACACACTGATGTTTCTCTCCCTCTCTTTCTCCCTCCCTTCTCCTCTCTCTAAAAAAAAAGTAAATAAATAAAATCTTTTTGAAAAAAACATAAATGTGCTAAAAACTGAACAGTTTTTGGTAATGGTAATAGTTCTAATATCTCACAATAAAAATATGGTCCACAGTTACCCACAGCTAATCTACTAGATCTTGTTTGCCTTTCAATAATTTCACAATTAGCCCTGGTTGGTGTGGCTCAGTGAACTGAGTGCTGGCCTGCGAAGCAAGGGGTCGCTGGATCAACTCCCATCAGGGTACATGCCTGGGTTATGAACCAGATCCCCAGTAGAGGGTGTGTAAGAGGCAACCACACAATGATGTTTTTCTCTCTCTCTCTCTTTCTCTCTCCCTCCCCCTTTAAAAAATAAATAAAATCTTTAAAAAAATTTTTTCACAATTATCCATCCCAAAAAGAATTTAGTAAACAAAAGATTCAAAACATTCACTGTTGCCGGAGGTAACTACAAAAAGTAATTTGAAAGATAAGTAAAATTAAACCATTATTTAAAAAAATATTTGTTCTTATAAACTAAATATATTTATCATGGAACTGAATTACTTGGAAATGAGGGAAATTAAGTTAAATCTTAACTAAAGAGTTTACATTTTGATTAACCAGTTACTATGCCTACCTTTCAATTTTATCTCAACAAAATCCTTAAGACTGCAATTATTATCAACTGTAACCAATAAGAGATCATTTTAAAAAATAATTGCTAAGAGCTAACTATAGGTTGGATACCATGGTAAGTCCTGTCATATCTTCCCTAGCTCCTCAACTTTGAAGATAACTTCTTTCTACTTATTACCAAACCTATAGGGTCCAGCACAAGTAACACCTTTTTTTATTATAAAATCTTTTATTACTAAATCATAAGCACATAATTCTATAACACAATATCACACTCAAGCACACCATATGACATTTTAAGTGAAATGTTCAAATTAAAACTATAAATTATTACAACCATATTATTAATCTACCAACCACAATGATGCAAAAGCATTACTTCTGCCAGACGCTGTATATTCCCAGAACCAGTCCAAACTATGTATCAAATCACATTTGCTGTTAACCTACCTTTGACACTGGTAAGCACTCTTAGGATTGGATTTCCCTTTTTTACCAATACCTGAGTTCCTCTTTGAGTTGGTTGAATTGCCCTTACCAGTCTCTCACCAAAGAAGGAATACTACACTAGAACCAGAAGCCTTGGTACTTATTGAATGCCTAAACTTATAAGACCTCCAGCCATAATCTATATATTACCACAATTCCAAATGTTTGACTAAAATATCACCTGAAATGCCTGACTGAAACACCATATGTTCTCTGACCTTCATGACCTTCAAAGTTACAACCTTTAGATGCCACACTCAACATCCTACTACAACTTCTTCCCAATGAGTGAATTTAGTTCCAATTTAAGGTATTCCTCCCTTCTCCTGTTCCTATTGCCAGGCTAAATCATTCCATTAAAGTTAATAAGGGACACCCAGGCACGTACAAAATCATTATCACTCTAAGGTTAGATGGTTAGATAAGCAAGAAAGAGGCATTCATTTCTCTCAAAGAGCACCACCACCTTATAATGGACACAAACTAGTGAGCAATTAACTTTCTGCTTCAAAACCAAAAACGAACTATGTTAAGAAGAAACTGATGGAGTCAGTTTAGACCATTTGATAAGGTTAAGCCTCAGGAACTGGCACATGAACCAATATTTGAAAGGTGAGTAATATTTTAATAGAAAAAAGCAAGCTATTCATAACTGCAAAAAAAAAAAACTGGACACTCAGATGTCCTTTAATAGGTGAATGGATAAACAAACTATTGTATATCCATGCAATGGAATATTCACAGCAATAAAGAGAAACGAGCTATTCTTAAATGCATATTGCTGAGTGAAACAAGTCAGACTGAAAAGGCTACATACTATATGATTCCAAATATGTTACATTATAGAAAAGGCAAATCTACAGTTAGTAAAACTAAGATGAGTGGTTGCCAGACATTAGGGGAGAGGGATTGAATAGGTAAAAGGGATTTTTAGGGCACAGAAACTATTTTGTATGATACCTTATAACACAGGATACATGACATTACATCTTTGTCAGAATCCATAGGCCACAAAGAGTGAATCTTAATGTATACAAAGTTTTAGAAAATTATTTAAGATATTGAGGGATCCTAGGAAAGAATTCAGACCATGATAACAGAATCCAACTGTATGACAAATATATGAAACAATGTCAATGCTCAAGGAAGTGGGTGGGAAGAAAAGGTACTGTCCTAACTAATTCTGAAAATGAAGGAAGTCTATCAAAGACAGAAGGAACTACACATAAGCACTCTAGTTAATAAAGTCATTTCCCACTGGGGTATGGGTTAGAAATTCTAATACTGTTATACGTGTATACTAGAACTAAATAATTAACTAAATGAATGAAAGATGATGGGAGAAAGTTTCCTCATTGTTAGAGTGGGAGTTTACATATGAGTAAGGGGAGAAGGCTAGAATGATACATGTAATAATGGATTAGTAAGAAACACCAGCATGACTTCGTCATTATATACAGACAGTTACTCAAAAATATTTGTTGGTATACCCAGATTAGCATACACACATATGTATTTCCTTGCTCTATCAGAGAAGAGGGCCTATAAAAAAAATGATACCCCTTTAAAAATGAATCTGGCAAGATGAGAAGTTAGCAGGGAAAACATGAGAAATCACTCCAGGAATAAAAAATAAGGTAATAAAGAATTTGATATGGAAAAAAGGATAGTAAGAGATCATGACCTTTGGTTCCTGTAAAATTATAAAGAAAGAAAAACTCCTTTTCTCCCCACCCATCCAGATACCCCATCTTCCAATAAAATAATCTAACCAAAACCTTAGCATGAATGGAAATCTTAAATATAGAAGAAAAACTAGCAAAGGCCTAGAACATTATACAGACTAGAGTGAAATATTCATCCTAACCAGCAAATTGACGGGTTATGGATATCTGGGGCAAGAGGAGGCAGGGGAGATAACTCGAATCTTTTGAAGACTGTGGCACATGCAATAGCAAAATTTCCACCTTTTGGAGAAACACTATTAATAAAAAGCATTAATCAATCTATTTATCCCTACAAAATAGTCACACAAAATAAAAACTGAAAAGCTACTCAGGATTTAAAATGACAATTGAGAATGTAATCACTCACTTCTAACAATTCTGAGACAACAGGCAGAACTTCAGGATTACAGATATCTATGGAGTCATCCCGGTATGTCTTCTTTTTATAACGAATATTACCCAAATGTAGTATTGCTGAGAGAAGAGAGAAAATCCTGCAAAAATAAAATGAAAAATTACAGCTTGCTTGTGCGCATTCTCTAAGCTTATTTCATCCCCAAAGTTCTAATCAAGTAAATTAACTAGTATAAATGTGTAGTAGTCTTCAGAAAATACGACATATGGGAATAATAATTATAACTAAAATTTACTGAGTGTTTAGAATGTCAGGCACTGTGCAAAGTGCTTTACAAAACCTTAATTTCAGGACTGTACCTACCAATTGTCAGAAAAGTTGTTTAAAGGGGACTTCAGATAATAATTTATCTGTATCTGCTGTAGTGTTACAACAGCCCACACCTTTCTAAATGCTTTTCATCCTGACTGGAATGTCCTTTCCCTACACTGTCTATTTCAGATCTACTAAATCAGAATTTTTCAGGCCTTGGAATCTGTTAGCCAAGAAGCCTAGGTGATTTTTTATTAGTAGTATTATTTAAGAAAAGCTTTCTTAGATCATATTATGGTATCCTTGATAAATGTGTTTTTTTAAAAGCCTGAGGCCATTGGGGTATATTACCTAGTATCAGGCCACCACTGTGAAACATCTACATCTGGACCCTCCTTTTTGTCCTTCCCTCCTGGACAACCAATCATACCCTCCTGAGTCTAAAGAATTCATGCCCCTCCTTCCAATCAACAACCAATTCCTCCTCTCATGCTCCCCATTCCATGAACTCCAATTTACTCAGAAACATTATTATTCCTTTTTCCTATCTCTCATCTGAACCCACAAGAACTTTCTATCAAAATAATCTCACGTTCACTTCTCTTACTTTAAAAACACCCATCCCAGACCCCTTATCTTCTCCTTTCCTTCTCATACAGCATTAACTTATACTCCTTGTCTTCACTTTGTCATTCCTTATTTACTAGCATATTCTGACACCTAAAATGTCTCATAGAGGTTACCATGGACTTTCATGTAACTAAGAAAAGCATATTAAAACTCTATCTAAAAGCCATTTCTAAAAATTCATATATACACATATCTTTGTGCCTTGACCAGTTTATTTCCTCAGGATAAATTTATTCTATTTGTAAAATTGTAACTCCATGTTTTCCTCAAATTAGGAGATATTCTAAATAAAACAAAAATACTGATTTAGGGACCTAATAGCAAAATTTTCAGAGGTCCTGAATCAACACCTTAATTTATAGGTCTAATTTCTCAAATAATTAAAAATTTTATGGTGATTCAAACAAAATACAAGTCAATTATAAAGGAATAAATCATAAAATTAGTCTGGGTTAAATTAAAGAGGAAACAGTGTCAACTTAAACATTATAAAAACTAATGGAAGCCAAATAATATAAAAATACTAATTCCTGAGCCATTTTTTAAAAAAAACTATTTTTAGCCCCCTGGTGGGTGGTTCAGTTGGTTGGAGTGTCGCCCCACACACCAAAAGGTTGGGAATTTGATCCCCAGTCAGGGTGCACAGGGAAGGTGACCGATCACTGTTTCTCATATTGATGTGTGCATGTGTCTCTCCCTCCCCACCTTCCCTTCCTCTTTCTCTAAAAATCAACTAACATATCCTTGGATTAGTATTTTTTAAAAAAAGTATTTTTAGCAGTAGTTTCTATGGTTGCTAATTACACTGTTTCAGAATTTCGGGTTCAAAAATCAGCACATTAATGTTTTCTCACACAGAAATACATAATGAACAGGCTCCAGCAATAAAAAATATATAAGAAAATCAATATACTATGATTCAATATAAAAAGATTAGTAAATATAAGTAATAATCTCTGTTCTCAAAAAGCTTATAATCTTGAATTAGGAAATAACAATAAATAATCATACTATGGGACAGGATATCTTAAAATACAGAAGGCAGAAATAACATACAGTTAAAGAAAATTTCATTAAAAACATAGTACATGAACATATTCTAAAGCAAACAGATTTCAATTCAATGCCAAATTTTGGGCTGCCTGCAAAGTGGTATTAAGAGGAATTTCTGGATGGACCTGAATACAATAGAAAAGGATGTTGTGGTTTATTAGCAGATACAACCACTGTCACAACAGAGGGGAATAGCAGTACCCATGATATGCCCTCTACCCAAAAAATAAAAAGTATTTGAATGACTAAAAAAGAGATGAAGATCATTCCTTCATGGAATGTATAAAATAATCAATGCTCAGAATACAACATAATACTTTAGAGAACACTACCAGTCTAGTTAAAATGCAAAATTTGTGTTAGGAAATATCTAAAGATAATATCTGAGCCATAGAGAAAAGTCACACTGAATGTCAGGCTACTAAGAACAGAATGTTCAGCGGTTTCCAATATTTCACACTGTCACATCAAAGTATAGAAGACATCCCTTAGTGTCTGAGAAGTAAATACTATATTTCTATCTTATGTTATCTTAAAAATATGAAATTAAGCTTTACTATTACTTAGTATATAGATTGACACTTCAGTTCAAATGTCAGCCAGGTATTAGATGAGGTAAATGTGGTATCCTGAGAGAAGAGTATTAAGTAATATAGCATTGAGTAATTGACCAGGTACTCTCATTTAATAACTTTTAAGTGAATTGCAGTTTATACCCCATTAGTGGGTTTACATATTTACATATTATTTAGTTTTATCTTTCATAAAAAAATTCTGGCAAATTATCTGCTAACTGAAGATCCATTCCAATAATGTGATGACAAACACAAAAAATGGTAAAGCTGGTATTTTTCTACTCCTACTGTGAGATTAAAAGTTAACAATATAAACAGAGCTAACATATTATCTACACTAATTCCCTCCTCAAAAAATAGTTTTAAGTTTTACAATTTTTTCCTGAGGAGAATCAAGGTTATTTGTATCTTTAATCTTAAATACATTTTTCATTTTAAATATAATTTATCTTTATTTCAACCTTTTTACATTACTATCTTATTTATATCTAGTACAGTTAACAAAACATGTTTAATACAATAGTAAAGACAAAGTTACAGAGGAAATACACAGAAAATTATGTTTTACTGATAGGTATGCATGCTTTCATAATATTATATATCAATGATATAGAAAACAAGAAGGTGAAAAACAGTTTTATAAAGCAACAGTGTTTAAGATCCATGAAGAGGCTTCATGGGCACCAGAAACTCTTATAATTATATGCAAAGGTTTATGAAAGTGAATTTTACAGAAAGAAGAGCTCCTGCTTTCAACTGAATTTCAAAGTATCTCAAGGAATTATGACAAAAAAAAGCAATTCAAAACAAGTCTGTTAGAAAAATAAGTTATCTAAGCCATGCCTAAGATGGAAGAGGCACTAAATCAGGAATATAATAAAACTGTTTCAAAGAACCAAGAGTGGAATTTTTGAAACACACATCATAATTTGTTCCCTAATGAGGGTATAAAAATACAATAAATAAACTCACTGTCTTCGTGTCTTGGGAAGAAATCCTACCATTTCCATGGCCAGTTGTAAACGTTCAAAGTCATGTCTCAAATCTTCGCCCTCTGTGGTAAAGCAATCCTGTTTATTTAAGGGGAAAAAAAGGGGGAAATCAAGATTACCTATTGAAAACTAACAGAAGCCACTTAGAAATCAAGTAATTTTTAGATAAGTACACTATGCATAAAAATTAGAGCTAGTGAAATATTTAGACATAGTCAAATTCATTAGACTTATCTTATGCAAACTAAACACATACTTACCAAATAGCCATTCAAGTTACCTTGCTTTTCCCTTTTACAATCTCCAAGGCAAAAACTTCAAAAGTAACTTATGATACCAATTTTGATTTTGGGAGGTTCTGAAGAGTTTTAGAGACCCAAAGCATTCAAGAGAGCCCAACTAAACGAACAAGTGCTATTTATTCAACAAATACTTAATAAATGCTTATACACGTGCAAGGCACTAAACTAGATTCTGGGGCAAACAAAAATAAATTTTAGAATAGACAGTAATTTAGTTGAAAAGTGGAGCAAAGATTTACATGGTGCCAAAATTCTGTAATATCAATATTAGATATAATATAAATAGCTCCAAATAAAATAAACATGATAATCAATCAGCACAAAAAGAGGATGCTACCAGATTAAAAAATATTACTTTTTTTATTAGCTAGAATTTTGTTTTTATTTATTTTGTTATCCTTACATGAGAATACATCTATTGATTTTACAGAGAAAAGGGGGGGAAAGATAGAGAATCATCAATTGCTTGCCTCTCACATATGCCCCAACCAGGGTCTGAACCCACAACCTAGGCATATGCCCTGACCTAGAATCAAACCCGCAAACTTTAGGTTTAGGGGATGATGCTCCAATAAACTAAGTCATACAGGCCAGGGCAAGTATTACTATTTTGGAGTAACACTTCTGTTTCAGTTTCCCAAAAAAGTGAATCATTAACACTGTACACTTAAGTCTTTAAATTTAAATCCCTTTACTGTATGTTCTCAGAGTCCATTACACTTACATTGTTAAAAGCCTCCTCACTCATATTTACTTTTGTAATGCCTATCATCCTACTAAATGCTATATCAAACATTCAGAAAAAAATAGTTACCTGCTATGTTCACTGCATATCTCTAGTATCAAGTTAGAGCCAAGAAAAAGTAGGTCATTATTGAAATAAATATATAACTACTGAATTACTGAATAAGCACTAAATTGAATAAAATATTCCTTTTTGAGAAATAAAGTGTTCATTTACTTTTTTTAAAGTATCAAGCATTGAGTTCCCTCCATAACTCCAAATGTATCGCACTGCTGGGCAAGATGGCAGCAGCATAGGTAAACACGGTACTCGCCTCCTCGCACAACTACATCAAGATTACAATCGCCTCCTCCCACAAGCACATCAAAATAACAACTAAACTATAGAACCACCAGCATTCAGAACTACCTGGAATCTGGCTGAATGAAAGTCCTAGAACCAGGGAATTAAAGAAGCCACATCAAGATTGGTAGGAGTGGCAGAGACACGGAACTGGCTGGTCCCACATCCATGAGTGGGGGGTTAAAAATCAGAACTATCTCAGCTGTGGAGATCCTCCCTGAGGAGTGAGAGGTCCCAGGCCCACACCTGGCCTCCTATCCCAGGGTTCCAGTGCCAGGAAGAGAAGTCCTTATTACTTCTGGCTGTAAAAACCAGCGGGGATTGAGGCTGAGGGAAAAGGAGGGCTCCTGGAGTCCCAGGCAGCTCTCTCTTAAAAGAGCCTGTCAACAGACTTACTCAAGACACACTGGCTCCAGCACTGGGGCAGCAGCTTGAAAGGCACCAGAGGCATAAGGGGAGGAACTAAAGTGTCTGGCATCAGAAGTGAGGGAACTGAAGCATTAAATGCCCATCTCCCAGCAGTCACTAGTTCAGGACTTCTTGGGGGGAGGGGGGGCATGAAGGTCAGAGTTCTGGGAAAAGCCTTCAGGTGCCAAGATGTAAATACTGACTGCTGCAGGTCACGGGGAGACCAGTGATCTGGTAGGGTTCAAACAATAAGGCAGGGAACTAAACCACAACTGTTAAAACCTTTTCAACTGAAAAAAGATAGATGATTCCTCTTGAGCTCAGTTCAAGCTCTAGTCTTACTTGATAGCATGCCACAGCACACCCCCCATAAACACAGCAAATTGTTCTTTCATGCTATCAGCCTTTTTTCCCTTTGTATGGGATGATAACAACCCTTTCTCATTTAGAAGTGCCCACAATAAGCATGGCAAGTAGTAGGCATTTAATATGGGTATCAGGGAGAGAAAGTGAAGTGTATAGTCATTAAGACATTTTTTAATGCTGTTAATATTTTTTAGAATAGATTTGGAAAATCAGATTTTTTTATACCTACCAGTTGATAATGCAGAACATAAATCAGAATATCTGACTTTGAGAGTTAGTAAAGATACTGGAACATAGGCTGACTCAAATCCCAATTACAATATTAACTTCCTTCACCACCACTGGAGAGTCACTTAAATTTTCAGTTACCATTGCTACTTAGGTGAAAGGCAATCTTACTAACTACAACCAAGGGTTTTATAATGATCAAACATAATATGGATGTTAATGTAGTTTTCATTTATTTTCCTTTTAAAATTTTTTATTTATTGAGTTTAGAGAGAGAGAGGAAGGTGAGGGAAAGGGAGAGAAAGATAGAAGGAAAGATAGCAATTTGTTGCTCTACTTATTTATGCATTCATTGGTTAATTTTTGTATGTGTTCTGCCTGGCTATCAAACCCACTACCTTGGCATATTGGGACAACACTCTAACCAACTGAGCTACCTGGAAGAGACTGGCACAGGATGAGGAGTAAAGCCAGAAAGGAAACCTGAGGGAATGACCACAAACTTATAAAATGCCAACAGGGAATAGCAGAAGGAGTCTTTATGCTGTAGAAACACTTACAATGCAAAGATTACAGATTCAAAAGATTCTACCCAAGTTGCATAAGGATCTACCTACACTGCAATAGGTCTTCCTCATGGAAAAATAGGCTGCCAGGTATTATAAAAATGTTTGAATTCCTATAAAGGTAATAATCACCAGATGTGAGTTTATTCTCAATGGATAGTAAATTCTAATTCCTCTGCAGCATGGTGACCATGAAAGTATCCTGAGATTTTATTATGACAATTCTCATTAAAACTCTGACTGATAGTTGAACCCTAAATCATTCAAAGATTGTTTCAAAAAAAAGTTTTTTAAAAGTTAGGTGACACGAACCCTTTGCATTGAAGTTATTCAAAACCATCTCTAAGGTAAAATTATTTGAATAGATGATTACTATTTAAAGAAGAGAATTTAACATTTACCAAATGTCTTCCACATATGGGAGTCACTATAAGAGTCACCTGACATATATAATCTCACTAAATCCTTAAAACACAAAAAAGAAAATTATGGGTATGTATAGTAGGATAATCCTTAAAGGAAATCACCATCCAATGGGTAACACCAGGACCCCTGTTAAAAGCAGTTTTCTCACTGGTTTCCCGTGGGATCATTTGTACAACTGCATAGTGTATGGTAAGTAATATAGCACAAGTGTGTGAACAGTCTTTAACAATCCTCTCCCTCTATAATGCTAGTCACATAAGTTCTAATAACTCAGAAGGAAACAAAGTTCAGTTTGCCCCAAAATATACTCAAAGGAGGAACGATAAGGAAAGAACAAACTAAAAGATCCTTTGACTGACTGCTTGCTTCCATTAATTAACTTGTAAGGGGAGTGGGGGGAAGCAACAGAAATTACAACTAAAATTCAAATTATAATAGACTTGAAAAGACAATAAGCAGGAGGATGGTGATGAAAGTGATATTAAAGGAGCAAAAGAATATGGCTACAAAAGTCCTTCCAAAAGAAAAAAATGGATAACAATGATTCTATGGAGGCAGCAATGGTAAAAACATTTACTGAGCACTTACTAAGTATGCACTCTACCAAGCTGCTTAGATGCACTAATACTCACAAATTTTCACAATAAAGACCATTATTAACCCCTTAAATAGATGATAAAGACAAAAGAATTAGGTGACCTGCTCATGTTCTCAAAACTAGTAATTGGATGAACCAGTATACAAGCCAAGTCTATCTACTTCGGAGCCCAAATTTTTAAGCATTAAACTCTCTAAGGAATAGCAGATTGGTTCACAATTTCACTGTAAGTTCTGTACAAGCAATAAAGTCTTACACTTGCCATGTGTTTCCAAGTGTCCCAACTACTTCCCAACAAGGCACATTCATTTGGTATAATAAATGAAAAGATGAAAGCCTCTCAAGAGTGACAAAACAGCATAAAATCTTTGTACTAAAATTTATCAGAATCTACAAATTTAAATGTCTGAAATTTATTTTCCAAAATGTTAAATCAAAAACCATAAATTACTTGTTTTGTTATAAAATGGTAATGCAATTAAGCTTTGAGGGAAAAAATTAATGTCCATAATTAATGATCAACTCTGAAAGAGGCTAGTTTTTTAATTAGTGGAGTTTTTATCACATGCAGTAAGAATTAAAGGCATGGTTATTTAACACAAGAGCTAAGACATTTTATGTTTTCAGAAGGAATGGTTAATAAATTAGTAGTTCATTAGTTAATAGATATAGATCAGTGTGTATTTTCAGATCATTAGATCTGACCTGACTGCAAACTAAAAGGAAGAAAAAAGATTTTTTGTGCTTTTTATGATTATATACTTGTCCTTCTAAAAATATAACAAAAAAAAGCTACATTTACCTCATCATTTTATATCATATATGCCCGTAATCACTCAATTTAAAACATAATATAAAACATAAAGTGTAAATACAGTCTCTTGCTATTAAAAAAGTCAGAAAAATTATATACACATTTATTATGTAAAAAGACTGTTAATTGATACATAAACCAAGAAGGACGTAACTTTTAAAAATAAACAATACTCATGTGAGCAATAAAAGCACTAAAAAATAATTTAAAAAAATAAAGTCAAGGAAAAAAACCTTTGTAGCTCATGAGGATCTACATCAATGCTGGTATCAGGAACTTGATCAGTTTATTATTTGAATAATAAATAAATAAAATAAAAGCCATTATTCAAAATAAATAATGAATATAGACTAAATGTTAGCAAGTAAAAAATCCCCCAAATTAAATTATCTGTTTTTTAAACAACTATACACTCACACACACAAATCAATCGACAGAAATTAAACACTGATCTATCTTCATTCCTAGATTGTTCGTATGTCAGCTGATTTTCTTTCTAAGTCAAAATAGAGGCAAATGTGCAAGGTAAGTGTCCCTTAACAGGAACACATGGTTTTTAGGTACTTGTACTGACCGGCTCAGAGTCATAGCAATAATCATCCCAGCTCTGTCTGAGAGGTTTCTTTGTTATCTGAAAGTAAGGCAGATTAGTTAGGTAGAAATAATGGTTATCACACTTCCCTAATCATGTCTTCAAGTGTTCAGGTGTCACTGCTGCTGTTCAAAGGAAGTCATTTTGTATAGCAGCATAAAACAAGAAACTACTAGGTAAACATTCCAAATCTGGGAGATCATATATTATTTTAACCAGTCCATGCTTTCTATTATCCAGTGACTCTAAGATTCTTATTAACTGCTGAGTCACATGTTATAAATAATAACCTTATAACAAAAATATGTAAGGCATGGCCACTGATTACAAAAGGATCTGGAAGAACAGTAAACTCTGAAATTCTCTATTACTAATAACTATCAGCTCATTTATGGGCAATGCCTACTTTTTAAAAAGAAAATATTTAATCACCCAAATATAATGCAAATAGTTTAAATAGGGGAGGGAAAAAACTCAAAAACCACATCAACCTTTTTGTTAAAAAATCTACTTAAGTCTACATAGTACAAATGCCTAGTATTATATCAAAAAGTGTTATTTTGAATAATTTTGAGATTATCAATATATTAATACAGTTATTTTGTTCATATGAATATGTCACTTCATATGTCAGTTATACAGCATGCTATATACCTTGGGAAATGTCTAAGATGTGATTTTCATAACCTTAAAACACTATAATCTTTGAGCCATTATTAAAGTGTCAATTTGCTTATAAAAACTTTTAAGGATTTTTTTTAATTACCAGAAAGGCTGTCTTTCCATACATATTACATCTTGCCTTCAAAAATTAAGAAAGACAATTTGTTATTTAAGTGAGGTACTGTCATACCAATTCCATTATATTGGTCCTAGAATTTTTGCTAATATGAAGAATAATAAACTTAGGGAAACCAACATAATGAAAAGTTGTGATAACTACTACTTATTATAGAAGTTTAGAAGTATAACATGAGTTTCACAGAAAGATGAAATTTTCTAAGTCACTTCATTTGATGCATTTCATATTGAGTTTTAATAGGATTATTCCTAAATTATAAAAATAACAATACTCTCAGTATCACAGTATCATGCGAAGAAGTAATATGTATTAGACTTTCGAACATGCAAATAACGATTCAAGTAATCCCTTGCAAGGGGAAAGCATTAGGCATTAGTAACATTTGACATGCGTGGTCTATAAAAGGTAAATCACTTTGGTGAGTGTAAATTGTTTTTCTAACATGGAGATAACTATAAACAGTTTGTTATTCTCTTTATGAGTCTCACAAAAAAGCAAAAGACAAATATATAATCCCTCAAAACACATGAGAGTGATAATTAATAATTTTTAAATTTGAGAAGTGCATCACGCAAATGTTTAAATTGCATGCTGGGAAATGCTAGTTAATATCCATGACCAGATATGGAAAACCAAGTACCAAAAAATAAATAAGTAGACTGTTACCAGGAGCTACAATTTAATAATGCCCTACATTTGAAAATGTTTTTTATTAACACTTACCTGATTAAGGTAATGATATTCTTCTGGCTGTTTAAGATGGAATGCTAATCTCTCTTCTTCACTTGCTCCTGCCAGAAGGTAATAGAATACATGATAGTTCCTGTTGGAAGCAAAGAAATATGGCTTTGTAATTAGCATGATCTATGATTAACTGGAAAAAAATAAAATATAAATTACTAAAATGTTTCAGCCTTGCTTCATTTTTTAACACAAAGGTGATAAACTCAATGTTTAAGTACTATAAAATATTTTGAATGCTGAATTCAAAACAGAAGAATTAAGGCAGCAATATGACAAAGTCAGAACCTCTGAAAATTCTTTCTTCCATAAAACCAATGAAAACAGCAAATTTGTGGTCCTGACCAGGTAGCTCAGTTGGTTGGAGTGTCGTCCCCTGTATGCCAAGATTTACAGATTCTATTTTCAGTCAGGGTACATAAAGAATCAAACAATGAATGCATAACTAAATGGAAGAACAAATTGATGTTTCTTCTCACTCATTCTTTCTCAAAAATCAATCAATAAAAAATTTTTTTAAAAAACACTAGTACATTTGTCAAAATCAACTTTTTAGAACTCTGGAAATTAAGAGTTTACAGCAATGCAGGGCATGTTTACATACTAAACACAGTTGAATCTCAGTAAAACCTGTAAACTTCTGCCTTTTTAACTTGTTCTATTCCATCTGCTGGTAGCCTTCAAAACAAAGACTTTACCATCCTGGTCAACAGCAGAACCCTCTCAGCCTCCAAAGGTGGCATAACTGGGTTGGTGCTTGTTAGAGCCTCATTCCATGAGAAACATCATTATTTGAACTGTCTGGCAGAAGCCATGTTTAAAAGTGTCTTTATTTGACCTGATCCAAAGTAAACCCATTGTGAAAATCTTTTCCCCAGAGGCACTTGTAGAAAACAATTACAGGCGATTGTTTAACTTGTCACTGTCTGAAACAGTAGATAAATGTTGGGGCAAACAACGCTTAAAGGAAAAACTTAAAGGAAAATTCTGAGAATCTCCACAAAGTCTTTGGAAAGCTCCAATATATTCCTGAGTATTTAGATAGCTATATGAACATGTTCAAATCCACATGCCAGCTCTGCATACACCAAAGAAGGCAGTAAGCTCTCACTTCTGGTTAACCTGGAAGATCTGTATAAGCAGTAAGTAAATTTGAAGGAAGAATCATAAAATGCCTACCTGAGTATAAAAGGCATGATCCCATACACACACAGAGTCCTTAGTCAAACTTACTATTTTCAAGCATTTAAGGAAATCTCTGTTCAATCCATTACCTAACGAAGCAGATATATGAGTACCTCAATGCCCATACTTGAAAAAGAATACATACCTCACAAAGTTACCTCAGAAAAGTCAAGAAACAAACAGCAAGAACAAAAATCACCACCACAAATCCTGGGAGAGGGAGAATCTCATCTCTAGAGCTGTCACATGATAATTTAAAATTTCCCATTTTCAAAAAAAAAATTATGAGGCATGCAAAGAAACAAAGTATAACACATACAAACAAAAAAGAAAAAATAATCTCTAGTAACCGTCCCCGAGGATGCCCAGGCATTACTTATAACACTTCTAATCAACTGTTCTAAATATGTCCAAAGACCTAAAAGAAACTAGATTTTAAACAACTACAGGAATATGAGAATGATGTCTCATTAAATAAACTATCAATAAATATATAGAACTTATCAAACTTTAAAGTTGAAAATATACTTTAATTATAAATTTTCTAAAAAAAAAAGATCAACATCACATCTAAACATAAAGAAGGAATTAGTGAACTTAAAGTCAATTGAGACTAGTTCTAAGAAGTATAAAGATAAATGAATAAAGAAAACGAAATACAGTCTCAGAGATCTGTGGGACACAATTAAGTAGATAACACTTGCATAAAGCAGGGCACCAAGATATGGAAAATGGGAGTCTAGAAAAGAAAAGAAAAGAAAAGAAAAGAAGAGAAGAGAAGAGAAGAGAAGAGAAGAGAAGAGAAGAGAAGAGAAGAGAAGAGAAGGGAAAAGAAAAGAAAAAAAAAAGAAAAGAAAAGATGTGAAAGAATATTTGAAAAGGTGACCAAAAGTTCCTCAAATTGGTGAATAACCATAATGTGCAAATCAAAAAAAACAAGCTCAACAAATTCTGGGAGGTGGGGGTCAAGGGATCAAAGAGAGCCAAACTTGGACCAATCAAGACTGCTGAAAGTCAAAAATAAAATTTTCTGTTTTTGGCCCTGACTGGTATGGCTCAGTGGATTGAGCATTGTCCTGCAAAACAAAAGTTCGCTGGTTCAATTCCTGGTCAGAATATATGCGTGGGGTGCAGGCAAGGTTCCTAGAGAGTGGGGGTGTACAAAAGCCAACCAAATGGTGTTTCTCTCGAACATCAGTGTTTCTCTCCTTTTCTCTCTCTCTTCCTGTCTCACTAAAAAGAAGTAAAATCTTTAAAACATTTTTTGTAATATTTCAATTATAATTGGCATTCAATATTGTTTCATATTAGTTTCATGTATATAGCATGATTAAATATTTACATAACTTATGAAGTAATTCACCTAGTAAGTCTAGTACCCACCTAGCACCATACATAGCTATTACAATATTATTAACCATGTTCCCTATGCCATATTTTACATTCCCAAGATTATATTATAACTACCTATTTATACTTCTTAATTCCTTCACCTTTTTCACTCAACTCCCAACCCCACCCTCATCCGGAAACAATCAGTTTGTTCTCTGTATCTAGGAGTCGGTTTCTATTTTTCTGTTCATTTATTTGGTTCTTTATTTTTTTTCTGGTAATTTAAGAATTATGTCATCATTTTATTTTATTTTTTTCATCATACCAGTTTTTTATTTTTTCAAAAGGATCTCTAAAATATTGCTTTATATGGCCAGTGATGCAAATTTCATTTGAATATTCCCTGAATTGAATTATATTCATCTTTTTGGAACTATTAACATTCTTTTTGGTTAAGTATACTGGTATTTTTATCTTGTTAAGAGTTTGTTATTTCGGGGATTTGGGTTTTTTTTTTAATTTTTATTTTAATTGTTGTTCAAGTACAGTTTTCTGCCTTTTACCTCCATCCCAGTCTACCCCCCAGCCCTCCCTACCCCACCCCCTTGTTATTGTCCATTTACACAATGGAATTCTATGCAGCAGAAATAAAGAAGGAGCTCCTACCCTTTGCAACAGCATGGATGGAACTGGAAAGCATTATGCTAAGCGAAACAAGCCAGGTGGAGAGAAACAAATACTGTATCATCTCACCTTTAACAGGAATGTAATCAACAAAACAAATGAGCAAAATATAACTAAAGACACTGAAATTGAGAACAAGCTGATAGGAGAGAGGGGAGGAAATTTCAGGGGGAAAGGGGAAGTGTTTGCAGGAACTGGTATAAAGGACACATGGACAATAACAAGGGGGGGATGGAAACGGGAGGGAGGTGGGGAGGGCTGGTGGGTGGGCTGCAATGGGGGTAAAAGACAGAAAACTATACTTGAACAATTAAAATAAAAACTAAAAAAACAAAAAAAACTCTGAAATATTTGGTTCTTTAGATTCCACATATAAGTAAAGTCATATGGTATTTGTCTTTCTCTGACTTATTTCACTAAACACAATACCCTCTAGGTCCATCCATGTGTTCAATTACAAAAGATAACATTTCATTCTTTTTATGGCTGAGTAATATTCCACTGTATATACATACCACCTCTTACGTATCAAATCATCTATTGATGGGCATTTAGGTTACCTCCACATTTTGGTCATTGTAAATAGTGCTGCAATGAACATAAGGGTACATATATCTTTTCAAATTAGTGTTTTATATTTCATCAAATAAATACCCAGAAGTGGAACTGCTGAGTCATACAGTGGATATATTTTGTTATTTCAAGAATCTCCATATTGTTTTACATAGTAGCTGCACCAATTTGTAATCCTGCCAACAATGCTTCAGGGTATGCTTTTCTCCATATCTTGGCCAACTCTTGTTCTTTGCTGCTTTATTGATATAGCTATTCTGACAAGTGTGAGGTGATACATCATTGCGGTTATAATTTGCATTTCTCTGATGATTAGTGACATTGAGCATCTTTCCAAATGTCTATTAACCATCTGTAAGTCTTTAGAAAAAATGTCTATTCCAGTCCTCTATCCATTTTTAATCAGATTTTTTTTATGTTCAATTGTATGAGTTCCTTATATATTTTTGTACATTAACCTCTTTTCAGATGTATCACTGGTGAATATCATCTCCCACTCAGTAGACTGTATTTTCATTTTGTTCATGGCTTCCTTCACTGTGCAAAAATTCTTTAGTTTTATGTAGCCCCATACATTTATTTTTTTCTTTTGTTTCCTTTGCCCAAGGATACATATCCAAAAAATATCAGTAAGAGAAATGTCAGAGTTTACTGCCTATGTTTTCTTCTAGTACTTATATGGTTTTCAACCTTACATTTAAGTTTTTAATTCATTTTGAGTTTATTCCAACATATATTATAAGAAGGTGATCCAGTTTCATTCTTTTGATCTTACCTGTTCAGTTTTCCCAACATCATTTATTAAATATACTGTCTTTACACCACTGCATGTTCTGGACTCCTCTGTCAGTGGTAATTGGCCACATAAGCATGGGTTTATTTTGGTCTCTATTCTCATCCATTGATCTGTGTGTTGGTTTTCATGCCAGTACCACGCTGTTTTAATTACTATACCATTGTGGTATAGTTTGATATCAGGTAACATGATACTTCAACTTTGTTCTTCTTTCTCATGAGCAGTGTAACTATCAGGGGACTTTTGTGGTTCTACATAAATTTTAGAATTATTTGCTCTAGTTCCATGAAAAAATGCCATGGGTATTTTGATAGGAATTGCATTCACTCTATAGAATTCTGTGGGTAGTATAGACATTTTAACAATTTTCATTCTTCCTAACCATTTGAATAGTATATGCTTCTACTTATTTGTAATATCGCCATTTTTTTCCTTTCAAGTCTTGTAATTATCCAAGTGCACATCTTTTACCTCCTCATTTAAAATTTTTCCTAATTTTTTGATGCAATTGTAAATGTTGTTTTCTTAATTTCTCTGATACTACATTACAGTTATGTACAGATACAACCAATTTCTGAAGATTAATTTTATATCCTGTTACATTACTAAATTCAATTTATCACTTCTAGTTATTTATTAGTAGAGTCTTTAGAATTCTCTCTATATAATATCACGTCATCTGGAAATAACTGCAGTTTTACTTCTTCCTTTCCAGTTTGAATGCATTTTACTTTTTTTTTTTTACTGGTCTGATTGCTATGGCAGTATTATGTTGAATAAAAGTGGTGAAAATGGACATCCTTGTTTTGTTCCTGATCTTAAGAACCTCTAGGTTTTCAAAAGTGAGTATGATATAAGCTATGGGCCTGTCATATATGGCATTTATAATGGTGAGGTATGTTCCCTCTATTCCTACTTTGCTGAGATTTATTCATAAATGGATGCTGGATTTTACCAATTTTTTTCCATCTATTGATTTGATCATATGATTTTTATCCTTCATTTCATTTATATGGTTTTTGACATTAACTGATTTAGATTAAATGAACCTTGCATACCAGGAATAAATTCCACTTGTCTATGGTGTATAATCTTTTTAAAGTATTGCTGGATTGTTCACTAATATTTTGCTGAGAATTTTTGCATCTATGTTCATCAGAGATATTAGCCTATAATTTTCTTATTTTTTGTAACATCATTGAAATCAGGGCAATGCCGGACTCAAACTGAGTCAGGGAGCCTTCCCTCCTCTTGAATTTTTTGGAATCACTTGCGGAGAACTAAAGTTCATTCTCCTTTGAATGTTTGGTAAAATTCACTTGTGAAGCCATCTAGTCTAAAACTTTTGTTTGTTTCGAATTATTTGATTAGTAGTAACTACTTTGTTTAGATTTTGTTTCTTCTTGATTTTGTCTTAAAAAATTGTGTGTCTCTAGAAATATATCCCTACCTTCAAAATTGTCCAATTAGCATATAGTTTGTTCACAGTATTTGTTTTCTAATCCTTTGCATTTCTGTGGTCATTGTCAATTTTTCCCCTTTCATTTCTGATTTTATTTATTTGAATCTTCTCTCTTTTCTCTTGATGAGTCTCGTTAAAGCTATATTAGTCTTGTTTATCTTGCAAAGAACCAGCTCTTGATTTCATTGATCTTTTGTATTGATTTTTAAGACTCTCATTTATTGCAGCTCTGGCCTGTATTATTTCCTTCCTTTGAACATTGGTGTTCTTATTCCAATTCCATTAGGTGTAAAGTTAGAGTGTTTATTTGAGATTTCTTTTTCTTGAGGCAGGCCTTACTGCTATGCATGCATTTCCTCTTAGGACTGCTTTTGCTGTATCCCATAGATTTTGGCTTGTTGTATTTTCATTTGTCTCAAGGTATCCTTTGATTTCTTCCTCAATCTCAATGAACTCATTCTTTCTTTAGCAGCATGTTATTTAGCCTCCATGCGTTTGTGCTTTTCAGTTTTATTCATGTAATTGATTTTTAGTTTCATACCATTGTGGTTGGAGAATATACTTGATATGTTCTAAATCTAAAATATCAACTAAACCTTTTTAGTCTAATGTGTCTTTTAAGGCCATGGTTTCTGTATTGATTTTGTATGAAAGATCTATCCACTGATGTCAGTGGGGTGTTAACGTCCCATACTATGACTGTACTACTGAGTCTCTCTCCCATTATGTCTGTCAAAATTTGCTTTATATATTTAGGTCCCCTTGTGTTGGGTGCATAAATGTTTACAAGGGTTAAATCCTTTTGTTGGATTGATCTTTTTTTTATTATATAGTGTCTGTGTCTCATCATAGCCATTGTTTTAAAGTCCATTTTATCAGATACAAGTATTGCTACTCCAGCTTTCTATTTATTTCCATTTGCATGAAATATCCTTTTCCATCCTTTTTCATACAGTCTGTTTGTGTCTTTTAATCTAAACTGGGACTCTTGTAGACAGCCTATGTATGGTCTTGCTTTCTTATCCAGCTACTCTATGACTTTTGATTAGAAGATTTAATCCATTTATTTTTAAAATGATTATTGATAGTTATAGTCATTATCTTTTTATTATTCATGCTTATATTCTTTCACTACCTTCTTCTTCTTAGTGAAGTCCATTTAACTTTACTTTTAATACTGGTTTAATGGTGGTAAACTCCTTACCTTTTTTGTGTCTGGGAAGCTCTTTATCTCTTCAATTTTTTTTCACCTTCAATTTTAAATGATAGCCTTACTAGGTGGAGTAGTCTTGGTTGTAGGTCCCCTTTATTACTGAATAAACAATTCAGTAATAGTACTGAGATATCTCTCACACACACCCCTTCCAATAATGAACAAACAACTAAACAGAAGATCAACTAGGAAGAAAAGGACTTTGAAAATACTACATTCCACCTAGACCTAACAAACATCTACGGAATACTCTATCCAAGAACAGCAGTACACATTTTCTTAAGCATCCATTGAAAAATCTCCAGAATATAAAATACTAGACTATAAAACAGTAAGTCTCAATAAATTTAAGGAGATTGAAATCAGACAAAGTATATTCTCTGACCATCTTAAAAATCAGTAACAAAAATTTCCAAAATTCAGAAATATGTGGAAATTCAACAACACAATCCTAAATAACCAATGAGTCAAAGAAGAAATCACATAGGAATAGAAAATACATTGAGATGCATGAAGACAAAAATAAAACATACTAAAACATGAGAAACAGTGTTCAGTGGGACTTTATAGCCATAATTTCATATTTAAAAAAATCTCAAATCTATAACCTGACCATCTACTTGAAGAAACCAGAAAGAAAAAAAAAAAAGGAGCAAACTAAAGCCAAAGCAAGTAGAAGGAAGTAATAAGCATGACAGCAGAAAATTGAAAATGGGGGAAAAAAGAGAGAGTAAGAAAAATAAAAATCAATAGAACCAAGCTTGGTCCCTTAAAAGAGGGAGTAGGTTGCTATGGTCTGAACTCCTCAAATTCCTATGGTGAAATCATAACTCCAAAAAGTAATGGATCAGGAGGTGGAAGTGGGTGGGGCCTTTGGGAGGTGATTAGGTCATAAGTGTGGAGCCCACATGAATGGGATTAGAGCTCTTACAAAAGAGTTCCCTATACCTTTCTATTGTATGAGGATCCAGGAAGAGGGTTCTCACCAGAATGCTACCATGCTGGCACCTTGATCTTAAACCTCCCAGTCTCCAGAACTCTGGGAAATAAATTTCTGTTGTTTATAAGCTACACAGTCTGTACTACTTTGTTATATCAGCCTGAATGAGCTAAGACATGAATGAAAGTGGGGACATTACTAACAACTTCATGGAAATTTTAAGAATGTTACAAGAGAATATTATAAACAACATTTTTGCCAAAAATTAGATAATCTAGATGAAATTTCTAGAAAAATATAAACTACCAAAATCTGACTAAAGTAGAAAACTGAAAATCTAAAGAGACCAGTAATCAAAACTTCCCACAAATAAAAACTCAGAACCAGATAGCTTTACTGGTAAATTCTACCAAACAGGAAAAATTAATCCAATCCTTCACAACCTCTTTCCATCTTATTTTATAAGTCAGTAGTATCCTTATATCAAAAACAGAAAAAGACATCAAAAGTTTTTTTTAATCTTACAGCAGTATCCTTTATGAATATAGACACAAAAAATGTTCAACAAAACACTACCAAGCCAAATCCAGCAAATCAAATCCATTAAAATAACAGAGAATCAGTTTATAAGCTCTGGATCTCCACCTACCATTGAGTCTTCAAAACTACAGAAACCAGGCTTATATCCCTACCACTCCCACTAAAATGTGTTAGAAAAAGTTACTAATAGGCTTCTAGTAGCAGTACCTGTTAGCTCTGCAAGTGTTTATGAAGCTATTCTCTTCCTGAAACTCTCTTCCTTTTATTTTGAAACACCTCTAATTCAGATTCTCTAATGTCTTAGCCACAAAAAAAATAACAGAAGACTGAGTTCTAGTCCTAAACTTGCAGGTAATTCATTATGATAATATTGGCTATTAATTACTGAACTTTTGTTATATATAACATCTTATAAATGTTATTTCATTCAATCCTCTAAATGACTTTAGGATAGTTTTCTATTTGTAAAATGAAAATAAGGAGAGCAGCAGAGGAGTTAATTAGATGCCAAAGGCATGTTTAGTATTTGAATGTGTAGGTCTGTTTAACTTCAAACTCTGGCTCTTAATTTTGTCTCCTTGTTACACAAAGCTCATCATTTATATATCCAATATCTGGTTCCTTCATCAGTGAAGTCCCATATACCTCAAATATTATAATGAAATTAACAGCTTTATTAAAAAATTTTTTCAAGTTAGAGAAAGAACATTAAGACATGGAAAATAGTAAAAAGGCACAATCCTACCAAGAGAACAAAGATAACATTGTTTTCTTGTTCTGATAGTTTGCACGAATTTAGAAAGGGCAACAGTTCTATACACCCATCAAAAAATCTAGCAAACTCAGAAAAACTGCAGTGTTCGGCCCATGAAAGAAAGAGTAATCATATATAAAGCTATGCATGGTATAAACTGAATTAAAGGTCATGATATTCAAAGATCCTAAAAGTCAATCTGCATTATACAAATCTTAACTTGATCTAATTACATAAACAAAGTATGTACCGTTCATTATGCTCTTGATAAACAAGTCTCGACTTCTCCAGTAGATATTTTTCAACATAGGCACTAGAAGAAAAATAAAATTGGTTAATGTAATTAACATAAGGTAAACAAATATTTTTCAGAGAAGATGAAAAAATACAAAGAAGGCTATCCAGATTATTTCAGTACATTTACCATTATTTTGTTATGGACACTGTTATAGTGTTATTCATGTTAGATTCCTAAACTCATAAATCTTTTTTGTGTGTGTTATGGTTTTCTTCTTGCTTTCAATAAAACAAAAATAAACTCGGAAGTTCAAAACAGAGCACACGAGAACTTCCTATGACATAGACTTTACTGTCTTTCCAGGCTCATATACACCATACATTCTTTCAAATAATACACTTTGGCCAGATTACTAAACAGGGCTCAAAGATATACTTTCTTTATATTTCAAGCTATTGCTACATTCTGGAATCGATATATTTATTATTTACTGATTTATTCAGTTAGTATTCATTAATTGTGCACTGTGCTAAGCATTATTCAAATAGGGAAATAAGTGATATATTAGCTGTTCTCAAGAGGATTACAAGCTAGTGGAGGAAATAAGTAAACTAGTAGCTATCATAATGAGTTGACTCGGTTTATTATGGAGTGATTAAAATACAATTATTATGTGAACCTGGAGAGAGGCTCCAGGAAAGGAAAAAGATGTAAGTAAGAATTCCCACGGAATACACAGTGCATAGTAAACATTCATTAAACATATCTAGTAAATGACTATATGCCTCTGAAATCTAACAGACTGCCCTGAATAAGGCAAGGACAACTGCCCTCATGTAAAGGCATAAAAGAAGTAAGGTACCTATCAACTTCAGGAAAGATAGTTAACACAGCTAGAGAAGGAAATAGGCAAGTGGACTAGATCAAGAAGGACCAATATACCATGTGCCAGAAGAATGGAATTTACCCTGAATGTACAAGGAACTTAAATGTGAATTGTATTATTGATGTTACTCTCCTTATACAGCCTATATGCCTCAAGTCTTCAATCCTCTTATCCAAATTGGAGCAATTGGTTCAGCTCTAACAAGAAAAGAGGGTGCTTAAATTTAAAAGCTTTAGACTACTGAATCCAAATTACTTAGCACGATCCTCTTTGGGATCAAAATCTGACTTGATCTCTTATTTTCCTCAGTTCCCTCCCACTGCATGTTCTGTATTTCAGTACCTCCTAAAGAGAGACTATTCCCTCAAGCATGATATTCACTCCTGAATATATTGTTCATGGTCTTCCTTCCAATTCTAATTCTGTAGACTACTCCCAACTCTGTCCAGTAGATTCCATTCATTCATTAAAATGAAGCTCAAATGTGCCTTCTTTGCAAATTCATTACCACTAGTACCACCAGTAATTAAAATTTGTCACTTCTGAATTAACATTATCACTGCTATTCTAAACTACTGAAATGGGCTCTTATTATTCTAAAATGGGAGAAAGAACTAACATAAACTAGCATGTTAAATTCTTAACACCCACCCTGCATGGCAAATATTACTGCCTCTATTTCATAAGTGGAGAAACTGATACTCAAAGACATTAAGATCATATAGCTAGTAAACAGCAGAACTGTGATTTGAACCCAAGTTGATTTTAACTATAAAGGCTCCCTCTTACAACTACACTAACATACTCCTGGACATCTTTCCACCCACCCCTTCAATCCACGAGTTATCTACGAGAGCTCTCTATCTAGTAAATGAGATCTAATCATGTTATTCCTCTACTTTCATTTGCCCCTTATACTATAGTATGTAGGGGTAAATTAATGTTATGCCCATCTGGGATTGTTTTTTAAATACATCAGCATAGAGAAAAAAAAAGGATGAAGAAAATACGGCAAAATTTGATCATTGTTGAATCTGAGTGGGACTTCCTTGTACTCTTTTCTTTATTTTTGCTGTTTGTAATTTTTAATAAAATTTTAAAAATCTATTTCCCAGTGACAGATGATAAAACATAAGCATTAGAGCTTTTGTAATAATATGAAACCAGATGACCACAGTGCCCATAAACATTAGTCAATGAATTAACCTCCTCAAGTACACCAGGGTCTTTATCCTAATTCCATTCATTTGCTAATGCAAGTTCCTCAATCAATAATGTGATTTCCCACTTTTCCTGCTTGGCAAATATTTAAGACCCAAGATAAAAATCACCTTTTCTTGTGAAGTCCTCCAGACACATACAATCATTGTATTTACCTCATTTTCTGTAATTATCTTATATAAATATCTACCTTCCCAAAGAGACTACAAGAACTTTAATGGCAGAGAACATGTCTACATGTTTTCATATCCTCAAACTTAGCATAGTGCCTGGTACTTACAATGAACTCCACAAATATTTGTTTATTGACTAATTTTTAGGTAATCACTTAACATAGACAAGCCTGAATTTCATTCATAAAATGGAAAAATACACATCTGCCATTTCTAAGTCATGAAACTGCCTTAAGAATATATATAAAAGAATATATATGTATGTACATATATATAAAATGGTATTTTGTCATTTAAACAGCAATATACACACTTTACCTACTAACAAACTCTCGTAAAGCAGAATCATAAATACTGGGAAAGAGCAGCCTGATTTGACTGCATTCTGCTTTTACGAGTAAAAGTACCAACTATACCTTGGAAAATAACATTCTGCAAATCAGAAAAGAAGGATGTATACTTGTTTTTGTTTCTTTGGGGATTGGAAGGAGAAAAAACACATAGTTTAGGTCAAAATTTTTAAATCTACATGAAGAAGCATTTCAGATCTCACTCCCCAGCATATGTTGTCAGCATATGTTGGCTCAAATAAACTCATATACATAAGTACATATATACATACATACATGCAAAGGTAAAGTGGTAAGAGTTAAGCATGAGTAAAATAGCATAAAAATACATATTAATCTCACTTATTAATATACATGCAAAAATCATAAATAGCCCTGGCTAGTGTGGCTCAATGGATTGAGCACCAGCCTCAGAACCAAAGGGTTGCTGGTTCAATTCCTAATCAGAGCACATGCCTGGGTTGCAAGCCAGGTTACCTGGTGCGGGGTGCATGAGAGGCAACCACACATTGATGTTTCCCTCTCTTTCTCCCTCCCTTCCCTCTGTCTAAAAATAAATAAATAAAAATTTTTTAAAAAATCATAAATAACAACTAGCAAACAGACCACAACATTGTAAATACATGTGCATATAAATATGTCTGAGTATGTAAGCGTGTGTGTGTGTCTTTGTAATGACCAAATGGGATGCTATTCCCTAGGATACAAAAATTATTCAATATTAGAATAATCATAATATTAATACATCTCAGAATGAAGATCATACTAATGAAGGCCTTTAGTAAAATAACATAAACATTACTGACAAAAAATTTAAAATTGATTCATAACTCATTAACATGATAAAATCTCCTAAACCCAGAATTTCACTTAGTGGAAAAACAAGAAAGGCATTCACATAAAAGTCTGAAACAATATTATCACAGTACAAGAAGTTTAGAATCAGACAAGGTAGAAAATAACCAGAGATATAAGAACAGAAAAAAAGTAAATATATTTATTTTTGTAGATATGATTATATACCTAGAAAAGGTAAGAGAAATAGAGTATTTAAAACTCATACAACAAAATAACTAAGTATAAAATATAAAAATCAACAGCCTTCATACATAAAAACAACATGTAATTTGAAGATATACTACAAAAGAAAAATCATGCTTTTAATAATAAAACATTTTTAAAAACACTCAGAAATAAATGCAACAAGAAATACAAAAAGCTGGACTTCCAGTCAGATAGCAACAAAGGTAAACAAGATGTGCCGCCTCACACAATTTCTCCAAAATTACAACTGAACTATAGAACCATCACCACTCAGGATTATCAGAAATTGAGTTGAATGGGAGTCCAACAACTACAAAATTAAAGAAACCACATCCATCCAGACAGGCAGGAGGGGCAGAGACATAAAAACAAACAGGGAAGCTGCCAATGGAGGAGACAAGGAAACGGCCCAAATGAAAGAACAGAACATAACTCTTAAAAAAGAGCTAAACAAAATGGTGATAAGCAATCTATCAGATGAAGAGTTCAAAACACTAGTTACAAGGATGTTCAAGGAACTTAGTGAGAAGCTCAACAACATAAAAAATGATCCAGGCAGAAACAAGGAATACACCAATGAAATAAAGAACAATTTACAGAGAAATGACAGTGAAGTGAATGAAGCCAGAATTAAATCAGTGACTTGAAATGTAAAAAAACAAAAAATAGCCAATCATAACAACAAGAAGAAAAAAGAATCCACAAAAAACAAAGAAAGTGTAAAGAGCCTCTGTGATAACTTCAAGTGTTCCAACATTAGCATCACAGGGATGCCAGAAGAAGAGAGAAAGAGCAAGAAATTGGGAATCTTTTTGGAAAAATAATTAAAGAAAACTTCCCTAACTTGATGAAGTAAATAGACATCCAGATCCAGGAAGCACAGAGAGTCCCAAACAAGATGGATGGAAATTGGCCCACTCAAAGACACATCATAATTAAAATGCTAAAGGTTAAAGACAAAGTAAGAATCTTAAAAGCATCAAGAGAAAAGCAGTTAGTTACGACAGGGGAGTTCCCATAAGACTGTCAGCTGATCCCTCAAAAGAAACTTTGCAAGCTAGAAGGGACTCGTAAGAAATATTCAAAGTTGTGAAGAGCAGGGACCTATAGCCAAGATTGCTCTATCCAGCAAAGATGTCATTTAGATTTGAAGGGCAGACAAAGATCCTCCCAGATAAGAAAAAACTAAAGGAGTCCATCGTCACCAAACCATTATTATATGAGGTGTTAAAAGAACTTATTTAAGAAAAAGAAGATCAGAGGACTTCCAGCAACATGGACGCATAGGTGGACACACCGTACCTCCACGCACAACTAAGATGGGAACAACAACAATTTAGAGGCAGAATAACACCCAGAACTGACAGAAAATTTATCTGAATGGAAGTCGGACAGTGAAGAAGTTGAAATAGACCCCTTCATCCAGACCAGCAGGAGGGGCGGAGACAAGCAGCCGGGTTTGGGTCAGTCGTGGTGCAGAGAACAGGGAGAACTGGGCGCATAAGGCAACCGGGAGCGCATAAGGCATCTGGGGTGCACAAGATCGCAGCAGGTGGATCCTGAGTACGCAAGCGGCAGCTGGCAGACCCAGTGAGGCGGCGATTGTGGAGCAGGGCAGAGCGCGCAACCCAGGATCCCAGGGAAGGGACTGAGGTCCCACGGAGAACTGAGCTACTGCCATTGTTCCCTCTCGCCCCCGCCCCCACATACAACGTCACAATCTAGTGACTGGGGTGCCCAGCCCTTGTGAACACCTAAGGCTCCACCCCTCACTGTAACAGCAGCGACCAGACCCCCCCAAAAAAGAGAGATGGCTCAAACAGAACAAATCAGTGCCCCAGAACTCATTCTTTTGAGCTACCAAGAAATAGCTAACCTATCAGACACACAGTTCAAAATACTGGTGATCAGGAAGCTCACAGAATTGGTTGATTTTGGTTGTAAATTAGATGAACAAATGCAGGTTACCATAAAAGAAATGAAGGAAAATGCACAGGGAACCAATAGTGATGGGAAGGAAACTGGCACTCAAAACAATAGAGTAGACCAGAAGAAAAAAAAAAAAAAACAACCAAACAGGAAAGAATGGAGAAATAAGAATTCAAAAAAATGAGGAGAAGCTTAGGAACCTCCAGGACATATTTAAATGTTCCAACATCCAAATTATAGGAGTACCAGAAGGGGAAGGGGAAAAGCAACAGATTGAAAACGTATTTGAACAAATAATAAAGGAGAACTTCCCCATTCTGGCAAAGGAAATAGACTTCCAGGAAGTCTAGGAAGCTCAGAGAGTCCCAAAGAGGTTGGACCCAAGAAGGAACACACCATGGCACATCATACTTACATTAGCCAAGATAAAAACGAAGGAGAGAATCCTAGAAGCAGCAAGCAATAAGGGGACAGTCACCTACAAAGGAGTTCCCATCAGACTGTCAGCTGATTTCTCCAAAGAGACCTTGTATGCAAGAATGGGCTGGAAAGAAGTATTCCAAGTCATGAAAGACAAGGACCTATATCCCAGATTGCTCTATCCAGCAAAGCTTTCATTTAGAATGGAAGGGCAGATAAAGTGCTTCTCAAATAAGGTCAAGTTCAAGGAGTTCATCATCACCAAGCCCTTATTACATGAAATGTTAAAGGGACTTATCTAAGAAAAGAAGATTAAAAAAAATGTATAGTAAAAGGACAGCAAACTCACAATTATTAACAACCACACCTAAAGCAAAACCAAAAGAAACTAAGCAAACAACTAGAACAGGAACAGAACCACAGAAATGGAGATCACATGGAGGGTTAGCAACAGGGGAGTGGGAGGAGGAAAGAGGGGGAAAAGGTATGGAGAATAAGTAGCATAGATGGTAGGTAGAAAATAGACAGGGGGAGGGCAAGAATAGTATGAGAAATGTAGAAGCTAAAGAACTTATAAAGATGACACATGGACATGAACTAAAGGGGGAGAAGTGGGTGGGAGAGGGGGTACCGGGTGGAGGGGCGTGAAGGGGGTAAATGGGACAACTGTAATAGCATAATCAATAAAATATATTTAATAAATAAATAATTTTTTTTAAAAATCAGTTAAAAAAAGAAAAAGAAGATCAAAAGTAGTAAGAATAAAAACATATCTATCAACAAGTGAATTTGAAAAACAAACTAAGGAAACAAGAGGAACAGAGACAGAATTATGGCTACAGAGGGCATTTGGTTGTTGCCAGAATGAACGGGGGTGTGGGAAAATAGGTGATGATGTGAAGGGATTAAAGAGAACAAAAAGGTAGTTACAGAATAATCACAAGGATGTAAAGTAAGGTATAGGAAACAGAGTAGTCTAAGAACTTATACACATGACCTATGGACATGAACAATGGTGTGGGGATTGCCTGAGAGAGTGAGGGGTGCTAGGTAGAGGGGGGCAAAGAGGGAAAAACTGGGACAAATGTAATACTGTAATTGATAACATATAATTGAAAAAAATCAATAAAATAAATCTGCCACCAAAAAAAATACAAAAAAACTTAACATTTTTAAAACCACAAAGATGTCAATTATCCCCAAATTAATACATACATTGAACATTAATCCAATAAAATCTAGCCATGAAAGACATGGAAGATACATGCTTCTAAGAAAAATGATCCAATCTGTGGAGGTTATATACTATATGATCCCAACCACAATGCATTCTAGAAAAAGCAAAACTATGGAAACAATGCAAAGAATTAGTGGTTACCAAAAGTTAGTGGGTGAGAAGGGGATAAATAGGTGAAACATAGAGGATTTTTTGAGAAGTGACACTATTCCATATGATACTGTAAATAAGAAATGTATGTCTTTATATGGTTTTCAAAGCCTATAGAATACACAATATAAATAGAGCACATTAATGCAAGACATTAACAGGGGAAACTGAGGGATAGGGTGAAGAGTTAATGGAAACTCTACTTTCTACTCATTTTTGTCATGAACCTAAAACTGCTCTAAAAATAGAATCTATTAATTAAAAATAAAAGTTAAAATATATGCTGGCACAACCAGAAGACTCTGATGACAGATCGTATAGTATAACAAAATTAAATTTCTTCAGTATAATAACAGTACTATATAGGTAAATGTGGTTGTGGCTGCTTTAGAAAATATGGTAATAACAGGGTGAAATTATATGCCCAACTTATTCAAAAACAATTTTTAAGAATAAATGTATGCATAATATAGAAAGAAAGCAAATGCAGCAAATTGTTAACAATAATCTAAGTTAAAGGTAAATGTTGTATTATTCTTATAATTTTTATCACATTTAAACTCCCCCCTCCAAAAAAACAGTTGGAAAGAATAAATGTAATGCAGACACCAATGTCACTATTCTCATTAAAGAGCAAATGAACAATCTATGGTTTATAAAGGGGCAATAACAAAAATACAAAACATGCTCCAAAGCCTAACATTGCTACTTACCCAAGTACAGTGCCTGTTTCTTGGTAATTTACTTGAATAAACTTGCCAAAACGACTTGAATTGTTATTATGAGCTGTCTTTGCATTTCCAAAAGCCTGTCAAAATAAATAGTTATCATAAATTTCATATTCAAAAAATGGAAAGTCCTGCTTAGATCAGTTCAGAGATAGCATAAAAACAATTCACTTAATACTTTCAGACTCACCATAGTTTAAGTAAAAGAAAGCAACTAATAATTGAAATAAAACCAAGTAAACAGCATTTTATGCTATTCAGTAAAATAAAACTTAATTTTAAAAATTTAGTATTTTAAAATTTAGATTTAAATTTCACATTCTAGTGTTGGCAAATTTTCTTAATATATGTATATATGTATTTTTTAAACCTTGCTAAACTGGAAGAAAAAAGAGCTAGGTAAAAACTATTACATCAAAATAATTACAATTTTAGGATAGTACCAATGAAAGGAAGTTTCATTATATAAGATACTAGACTTGATTACACTTACTTAAAACTAAAATATAGTACTATTTTTAACAGACACACAGACTTCCTAAATTATTACCTAAAGTATATATTATGCAATGAAATATTATCCAGCAATAAACATGAACTACTGGTACAGATATCAACATTGCTAAGTATGAAACATTATGCCACAGGAAGAAACCAGGCACAAGAGCACATATTGTGATATAAAATTCTAGAAATGGCAAAAAAAGAATAACAGGAAACAGATCAGAGGTTGATGAGGAATATAGGTGAAGTTGAAAAATGTCTATAAATGGGCACAAAAGGGGTAATAAAAATAGAATAGCTTGACTATGAATGTGGTTAAATGGGTACACACATTTATCAAAATTTAATGAACTGTACATTTTAAGCCGGCCTGTGTGGCTCAGTTGGTTGAAGTGTCATCCCATAAACCGAAAGGTCACATGTGTGATTCCCAGTCAGGGCACATACCTACGCTGCAGTTCAGTCCCTGGTTGGGGAATATACAAGAGGCAACCAACTGATGTTTCTGTCTCGCATGGATGTTTCTCTCCCTCTCTCTGCCCCTCCCTTCCCCTCTCGCTAAATCTGAATAAGCATGTCCTGAGGTGAAAATAAAAAAAATATAATTAACTGTACATTTTAAATAGCTATATTTTAAGTTATGTCTCAGAAAAATTAATTAAAATTGAAATTTAGAAGAAAAATCCACTGTTGCAACTCATATATTTAACTACTTCATTCTCTAAGTCACACTGCTGTATTACAGAAGCCAGTCTCAAAACTTTACATATTGTATGATTCCATTTATATGACATTTTGAAAACCAAAAAGCAACAGCAAGGGAGAAAAGACAAGTAATTCCCATAAATAATGTAAATATACAGCAGGGCAGAAGGTATAAAGACAAGGAATACGGTGAGGGAGTGTCATGGGGTAGTGAACCTATTCTGTATCCAGACTGTGTATAAATGTTTATTCAAATTAATATGTTTTAAAATTCACAGAATTTTTCTGTAAGGTTATTCTTTTAATAACTATTTTTAAAAGTACATCATTAGTAAATGAAGGCCAAAAAATTACAATTTCAGATACACAAACCTGAAAATATTTATCATAAATCAACTCATACTAAAGGAAACATTAAAGAAAGTCCCTTCATATAGAAGAAAAATGATATATTCAAATATTTATCAGTGTAGGGAATGGAGAACAGCAGAAATGACAGCCACATGAATAAATCTATAAAATGTTTTTCATTACTTAAATCTCTTAAAGAGATCATTGAGAGTGAGGTCAGAGAAAATGATAAAGATCTCTGAAAATCCTTTCCCATACATAAAAGAAATAAGACTAACAAAAACTGTCAAAATCAACTGTTTTATGACTCTGGAAATTAACCAAAGGCTTAGAATAATCCTTTGTAAGGTAACATTTCATCATGGAAAATAACTGAATCTTGATAAGAAAAACAGGCATTGTGGCATTTTAAGTTAACCCAATTACCATCTCCCTCTTCCTAGCTCCTTGCAGCAGAGGGGGAAAAAACCCTACAATTACAGTTATTTTAAAAAGCAGCCTTAAAATCATTGAAAGGATCAGACCAGAGTTAAGCCAATGCCCTCTGTCCCACAGATCACTGTCATAATTTGATCTATATGGCATGTCCCTGAAAAACCTCACTCAAAGTGCTATATTTATTTGATCTGATTTGGAGACCACTCACTGAGGAAAACCTTTTCCCTCATATGTGTTTGTGAAAAACAATCAGAGATAATTGTTTAAACACTGCAACTGTCTAAAGACGGGGCAAAATGTTGATGTTGGCAGAGATTTTTTATCAGCTATTTTAAATATTTCCAGACAACTAAAGGACAGTATGATAAAGAGACCTTAACAACAGAAATATCAGTAAAGATGTAGAAATTTTTAAATTATGAAAATACTGGTGTACATTACTTTAAATGAAAAATTCCTTAGAGGGGTTAAAGGCATAAGTAGAGGAATCAGTAATGACTTCAAAAGAAAACCTCATGAATAACATGTATAAAAGGGGTTTTGAAAAGATTTAAAATATTACAGAAAATGCAGGTGTTGCACATATTAGGACAGTGCACATGCCCATGAATGTGTGCATGCTCACAAAGAATTAGGACCTTTGGTTGTCATTCACGATCTATGTAAACACGAACAAAAGGTAAGGAAGAGTTGACAACTGCCTGGTTGAGTGTTGAGGGTTATCCCAACAAGTACACAGGACAGTACAGAAAAGACAGGAACCTTATTGTTTTAGAACATTCACAGAAATCCCTATGCAATCATTATCTGACCACTAAGAGAATTTGAAAGCCACACACACACACAAAAAAAAGGATTACAGACTTTGCAGAATGATTTTAAAGTATAACCAAGCAGCAATAACAAAACAATTCCAACAAACCCTGAAAGAGGGAAAAATCATATTTCCAGAACTGCCACACTGTATAAATACCCAGTTTTTCACTCAAAAAAAATATATATATATATAAAAGATATGCAAAGAAGAAAATATGGACACAGAAAAAATAAAAAAGCAATAAACAGAAACTGTCCCTGACAAAATGTTGATGTTGGTAGAGACTTTTTATCAGCTATTTTAAATATTTCCAGACAACTAAAGGACAGTATGATAAACAGGCCTTGACAACAGAAATATCAGTAAAGAGGTAGAAACTTAAAAATTATGAAAATGCTAGTGTACATTAATTTAAATGAAAAATTCCTTAGAGGGGTTAAAGTAAAGGCATAAGTAGAGGAATCAGCAAACTTGAAGAATGATCAATTAAGATGATGCAATCTAAGAAACAGGAAAAAAAATTAAACAGAGCTTCAGAGACTTGTCTGTGCAACCACCATCAAACATATCAACATATGTATATAATAGAAACAAAAGGAGAGAACAGAGCCGAAAGGACAGAATAACTATTTGAATAGTCAAAAACTTCACAAATTTCATGAACATTAATCTATATATCCAAGAAACTCAATACACTCAAATAAACTAAAAAAGATCAGTACCTAGACAAATCATGATCAAACTGCTGAAAGACAAAAATAAATCTTATAAGGAACAAGAAGAAATACATGCCATACAAAGGATCCTCAAAAAGAATACACCTAATTTTTCAACAGAAAGATTAAGGATAAAAGACAGGGGAATTGTATATTAACAAGCACTGAGGATTAGGCAATTTGAAAACAAAAGAAAAAAAAGAATCCAATATTTTAAAATATATTTTATTGATTATGCCATTACAGTTGCACCATTTCCCCCCTTCATTCCCATCCACCCAGCACACCATTGGAGAATGGTGCTATGCACACCATATAGATGTTCTCCATTTCCAGCCAAAATGGAGGCATAGGTAGACACACTGTGCCTCCTCGCACAACCAAATTAAAGACAACAAAAATTTAGAAACAAAAAAAAAAAAAACAACAAGAACTGACAGAAAATTGAACTGTATGGAAGTCCGACAACCAAGGAGTGAGACACATTCATCCAGTCCGGTAGGAGAGGCGGAGTTGGGCAGCCATTGGAGTAGGGCAAGGGCGGAGAGGGGTCACAGCAAGCAAAAAAAAACGAAAAAAAAAAAAAAGTGGTGGCTTGCGGCCCAGAGCATAATGCAGTGGCTGACGGACCCAGGTGCGCAGGCACTAGCTAGTAGACACCATACACAGGGTCCAGTGGGCAGACCCAGTGAGGCATGCCGGGTGGCTGGTTGACTGAGCGGTCGCACATTCATATGCAGACAAACAAGGCGAAGCTGGGGAGGTACAGAGACCCCGCAGTCCAGGGACCCAGCCCAGGGAAATAAAGCCTCAAAACACCAAATGAAAACACCTGTGGGGATAAAGGCAGCAGGAGAGACTCTCAGCCTCACAGGAGACTTCATTGTAGAGACCCACAGGGTCCTAGAACATACACAAGCCCACCCACCGGGGAATCAGCACCAAAGGGGCCCACTTTGCTTGTGGGGAGCATTGGAAGGGACTGAAATCCGAGAGAGAGCAGAGCAAGCACCATTGTCCCCTCTTAGACCTCTCCATCACATACAGCAACTGGGTTGCCCTGCCCTGATGAACACCTAAGGCTCTGCACCTCATACTTAACAGGCGCGACAAGACGGGAAAAAAAAATGGCCCAAAAGGAAGGACAGATCAAAGCTCCAGAGCAAATACTTTTAAGCAATGAAGACACAGCCAACCTATCAGATGCACAGTTCAAAACACTGGTGGTCAGGATGCTCACAGAATTGGTTGATTTTGGTCCCAAATTAGATGAAAAAATGAAAGCTACACTAAGTGAAATGAAGGAAACTGCACAGGGAACCAATAGTGATGGAATGAAAGGTGGGTCTTACATCAATGGAGTGGACCAGAAGGAAGAAAAAAACATACAATCAGAAAAGAATGAAAAAATAAGAATTCAAAAAATGAGAGGCTTAGGAACCTCCAGGACATCTTTAAACAATCCGACATCCAAATTATAGGGGTACCAGAAGGAGAAGAGGAAGAGCAACAAGTGGAAAACTTATTTGAACAAATAATAAAAGAGAACTTCCCCAATCTGGCAAAGGAAATAAACTTCTAGGAAGTCCAGGAAGCTCAGAGAGTCCCAAAGAAGTTGGACCTGAGGAGGAACACACCAAGGCACATCACAACTGCATTACCCAAGATTGAAGATAAGGAGAGAATCTTAAAAGCAGCAAGACAAAGGGAGAGAGTTACCTACAAAGGAGCTCCCATCAGACTGTCAGCTGATTTCTCAAAAGAGGCCTTACAGGCAAGAACGGGCTAGAAAGAAGTATTCCAAGTCATGAAAGGCAAGGACCTACATCCAAGATTGCTCTATCCAGCAAAGCTCTCATTTAGAATGGAAGGGCAGATAAAGTGCTTCTCAAATAAGGTCAAGTTAAAGGAGTTCACCATCACCAAGCCCTTATTATATGAAATGTTAAAGGGACTTATCTAAGAAAAAGAAGATAGAAAACATGTACAGTAAAATGACAGAAAACTCACAATTATTAACAACCACACCTAAAAAAACAAACTAAGCAAACAATGAGAACAGGAACAGAACCACAGAAATGGAGATCACATGGAGGGTTAGCAACAGGAGAGTGGGAGGGGGAAAGAAGGGGAAAAGGTACAGAGAATAAGTAGCATAGATGTAGAAAAGAGACGGGGGAGGGCAAGATCAGTATGGGAAATGTAGAAGCTAAAGAACTTATAAGTATGACATATGGACATGAACTAAAGGGGGGGCATGTGGGTGGGAGAGGGTTTGCAGGGTGGAGGGGAATGAAGAGGGGAAATGGACAACTGTAATAGCATAATGAATAAAATATATTTTAAAAAAAACACAATCTTGAGAAAGAAGAAGATGAAGACTCCGCATGGCTTAGAAAAAAATATCGCCACTATCACACTCTTCAATCTTCCACACTGCCTTTTTTTGCTGTTCCATCTTCCAGTTTTCCTTGCTAATTATACTTCTATTTAGTTTCACTTCATTTCCTCACATTTACCACTTTTTAAAAAATGTTTTAAAGACATGTTTAGAAGAAAAGTATTTCTACATACCTCAAGTACTGGTCCAGCTCCAAGAATAATTTGTTCCACTCCACTGGCAAATCCTTTCTGACTGAGAGCAGTAAGGTGGTGAATAAGAAAGTTTGTGCTTTGAGTCTTGCCGGAACCACTCTCTCCTGAAATCACAATGCACTGATTCTTTTTTCGCTGAAGCATGGTGTGATAAGCTACATCAGCCACAGCATAAATGTGAGGCTCAAGCTTTCCTAACTGGTGGTTATCATACATTTTGACATATTTGGGGTTATAAATAGGAAGAAACTTGAATGGGTTAATAACTATTAGAATACTGCCAACATAGGTATAAATTTTTTCATGCTTAAAGCGATTTCGTAGGTTTTCTAAGAGAGTTTTCTCATTCAAATCAGGTAAGCTACATAAATCATCAAAGTCTTTCTGTTGAGGCTGTGGAAGAAAACCCCTTTCCATCATCCTGCGACGTTCTTCTGTTACCCGTAGCCATGACTGAAGACTACCATAATGGATTGATCCATCAAGGTTTTTTTCTCTCAGAAGAAAGCGGTAGTCCTCTCCACTTAGGCGATTTTCCAGAGCCATTCGGGGCCACAACATCATTCGTTGAACTGGACAGTCTGTTGGATTGAGTATCCATTCTTCTCCACCAAATTCTTTTACCTCTGCTAGAACATAACATTTTGTTTTGTCAAGATGAAGTCTGTTTATAAGAGAGTCAATCACCTCAGCAGCTGTGGAATTTTTTCTGGCAGGAATTGGACAGTAGATTGTCCCTTCTGAGATTGTCCCAGGATATATATGTAATGTATGTTCATTATCCTCAAAGCGTCGTCTTCCTCCATCATTTATATTCATATTGGATCTTGTCCCATCAGCATGAATACTGCATGTTCAAGACTGTCCACACCATTTTCATGGCAAAAGAACTGTAACGTAAAATATGTGAAACACTTAGAAGTCATATTACATAATCACTGCTTTCTGATGCTCAACAAAGTCATAATAATTGTGTTGATTACATCTTGCAGAACATAAAATCCTAAATCTCAGTATGGAAAGTTTTTTTTTAAGATCTACTTGGTTTTATTAAGTCATTCATGAATTAGGCAGCATCCCATCTAGCAACCAGAAGGGTGCTCAGGAGGAACGATCTTGAAATGGTCTCACTGAGACCACATGTTATTTTATTACCCAAAGGTAAGCACTTTCTGAAACAGTAACTTGTCAAAAATTGTTTTAATGTTTTACTATATTAATAATTCCAAGGAGTACAAATAAAAATTATTTTAGCTTCTACTATTGCAAATGTTTCTAAGATACCTGAGATTAGAATCGGGTTCTTTCTTTACATTGGAAGAGCCTCTCTGAAGACTAAAATGGACAGAATAATCACACTAATCTAATCATCTTGCACTGAAAAGTTCTTATGAATAACACAAAAACAGCAAAAACTGCCACTGATGGAGCAAAACTTAAGAGAAATTAAAACAGCAAGATGACATCAGTGAGAAATTAAACTATTTTAACTAACCGAGACATGACAAAAATCTGCTTGCTATAGCAGAGATGTAATTTGAAGGACTTCTATACTCTTGACTCTCCACCTTCCCAAAGGCAGAGAGGTGAAGGGGACAACAAAAACATCCTGCCCCTGGCGTGCCAAACAAAACTGATGAAAGTATACAATTAGATACCATTACAAATTTTATTCAATCTTACCTTTTCCTTTAATACTACATTTTTTTATCTAACCCGATTTCATTCCTTACAAGTATTCTGCATATGCTTCCAACCTTCTCATATATCACACCTCTAGAAAAATGAATTCAACTTTGATACCTAAGGAAATAGTGATTTCCTTTAAATGACTCTCCAACTCAAAATGCATTCCTCTTTTCATTTCATCTGTTATTCCATTTGTGTCTACACAGAGAATATGTGCCACATCCTTTCCAGAACTCATAAAATCCATTTCTTAATATTTCCATCAGTAACTAGTCCCATCAAAAACCACTTTCATGTATTACCAATCACTTTTAACATATTTCACCTTTTTTAAAAGATTTTATTTATTTATTTTTAGAGAGGAAAGGAAGGGAGAGAGAGAGAGAAGCATCAATGTGCGGTTGCTGGGGGTTATGGCCTGCAACCCAGGCATGTACCCTGGCTGGGAATCGAACCTGCGACATTTTGGTTCACAGCCCGCGCTCAATCCACTGAGCTATGCCAGCCGGGATATTTCGTCTTTTAACACATAAAGATGCTGTTATTTTTTTTAAGTACCTTCAGTTACTTCTCTCTCATACTCCTACATACTTGTAAAAGTCCTCTAATTAATTAAAAGTCCTCTAATTTAGATGATCTTTCAAATGCAGAGAATATTATAGAACATATTAAAAGTAGCCACATATCTACTCAATTTCCACATTTGCAAATTGCTCTAATTGCTCCAGATTATTAATAAATACACTATTAAAGATACAGTCACAAGCCCTGGCTGGCGTAGCTCAGGTGATTGAGCACAGGCTGCAAACCAAAATATCGCAGGTTCGATTCCCAGCCAGGGTACATGCCTCGGTAGCAGGTCACGGCCCCTAAGCAACCGCACATTGATGTTTCTCTCTCTATCTCCCTCCCTTCCCTCTCTAAAAAAAAAAGATACAATTACAGTTCCTTCCTTTGCTCTGCAGAAGCAACCACTATCCTGAGGTTGGTATTATTCACATATTTTTTTTTATACTTTGAAAACATAAATTATAGATAGTACTGTTTCAGATTTAGAGGTTTAAAAAAAATGGTGTCATACCAAATAGTCTGTATCTCACTTTAAATAATGCATTTTTTTATTTATAAATGTTGATACATGTAAAGTCCACTAATTGTCAAATAATGAGCCACTGTATATAGGTTCATTAACTGTAGCAAAGTTCGACTCTGGTGGGGGTTGTTGATAATGCGGGAGGCTACGCATGTGTACAGGCAGATGGGATATATGGGAAATCTCTGTGCTTTCTGATCAATTACATTGTCAACCTAAAACTGCCCTAAAAATAAAGTTTTTAAATCCCATTATATGATTATGTCACAATTTATCACTCTTTCTAGTGAACACTTAGAAGATTTCCAATATTACACTATTAAAACTATGTTGTCATTCTCATACATGTCTCTTCATGTGCCTTTGACAAACTTTCTCTGGGCTTCATACCTAAAAGCAGAACTACTGGGTTTTAAGCATCTTCAACTTTACTAGATATTAAAAAAAACATTCTCCAAAATGTATCAACTATTTCACAGCCAGCATAGAAAGAACTCAGGATTCTCTGCCCCCTTACTAGTAAAAGTATTGTCAGACTTAAGTTTCTGCCAAGATAGTAAGTGTAAAAGGCTATCTCATTACTTTAGTTTACATTTCCCTCATTACTAGTGTAGATGGATAATACTTAGCCTATCACTTGCCATTTGGGCTCTGTTGGTTTTCCACTAGTTTGAATGAGTTCTCCATATATCCTGAATATCAGACACTTTTCAGTTGCAAGTGTGACAAATATCTCCTATCTGTTTTGTTTCCTTTTCTTGTAGAGAAGTTTCTATTTTTAATGGTCAACTCTATCTTTTCTTTACAGGTATGACTTCTTTTTTAATAAACAACATTAACAATTACAGTCATTTGTTAATTGAACCATTCTTTTCATTTTTTCTAAGTGATTCATATGGATTATTTAATCCTCACAATTCCTCCAGGGTTGTTTTTATCATCGTCATCATCATCATTTTACAAATGAGAAAACACAGAAAGATGACATAATTTGCTCAACATCATAAATAGAATGTGATAAAGTTGAGATTTGAATCCTTCAGTCTGACTCAAAAGCCTACCTAATGTGATCTCCTTGTATAGTTTTTAAAAATCCTTCCTTATCCTAAAAACATAGTTATTATCCTGTATTTTCTTATAAAAAGCCTATGTTTTACTTTTCTCATTTAGGTCTCTAATCCAGACAGAATTTATTTTCATGTATGGCATGAGACATAGCACTTAATTATTTTCACATCAATTCAGATTAGTAACTAGACCAGTACCACAATGAAGGATCTAACATTTCCCCGCCAATTTATATTAATGTGCCATTTCTGTCATGAGGCAAAGTCCAAAAAATATCAGTCTACTCTGGTTCTGCATTCTGTTTTGCAGAGTCTATGTGTCCACTATATAACTTAATTATTATAGCTATATAATAAGTTTTGAAATCCAGAGGGCAAGTTGCCTCTATTTGTTCTTCTTTACTGTTACTTTCACTATTTACTCTGCCATAACAATTTTAAAAGCAACATGTAGTGTCGCAGGTTCGATTCCCAGTCAAGGTACATGCCTGGGTTGCAGGCCATGACCCCCAGCAACCGCACATTGATGTTTCTCTCTCTCTCTCTTTCTCCCTCCCCTCTCTAAAAAATAAATAAATAAATAAATACAATCTTTTTTTTTAAAAAGCAACATGTGAATTACCATGAAAAAACCATTTGGCAGTTTGATACTGCATTGATTTTTTTTTAGGTTAATATTAGAAAAAAACAGACATCCTACTGACTTCCCATTCATGAACACGATGTTATTTTTTTGAATTATACTATTTTTCACTTCTGAGGTTTCTGCCATTTTCATATCTACCTGATCTTTTTTTCTCCCTATTTAAATTCCATACTTGTTTTAATTTAAGAAATATTACTTATTCACTCATCTCCTTGAAAATCCTAAATATACAATTTGATATTTTCCAAGCTAATATTTTAACGTCATCTAGAGTAAACTATTCTTCTGACTGTTGATTTTATTTTGTATCTCTCTCAGCATTAGATAGCTTAATTTGTTTGAGAATTCAGCTTTACAGGAACACTTTTTAATAGAAGAATTTTTGTCTTTCATACATTTACCAAGAACCCGCTATTTACTACTTTTAAAAAACACAATTACAGTATCATTAATTGCATCTTCAAAAATTAACAATTTTTAATATTCCTAGTCAGTGTTCAATTTCCCCAGTTATTTCATAAATATTTTTCTTAGTTAGTCCATTCAAATCAGATCTGTCCTGAAGTAATAACAGTAAGGATATGGTCTGAGCTGGCAGGTCCCTAGTTGTAAAGCTATGTTTGTGTTCTCCTAAGTCCCTAGGTATATGGCTTCATATAAACAGTGGCCTCTGGTGCCAGTCAGCAGCAAAGCTACTCCTTCCAGTCAAGGAAGCTGTGCCCTGCAATACTCCAGAAGATGCACTGCAAAACTACCATCTGAGCTCTAAGGGTGTACGATATGACAGCCCTAGCACTAAATTCAGGGAATATCTTTTTCAATAGAGGAGTCTACCGATCCTAGCCCATGGTTTTCAACAATGAGACCAAATGCAATAAAAGCACATCTCCATTTGCCACAAAGAAGACAAAACCTCAGCTGCTTTCACCTGCAGGCTCCCAGCCATAGCCCCACTCACTGCTTTGCATTCTATTCCCTTTCTGAAACATAAAAATGTTTATTTTTTATGAGCTCCATTTATATCCATTTGGTTTTCTCTTTTTGTTACTTTATCAATTTTTGCTTTGTGTTTGGAAAAAAGGGTTACCTCAAAATATCACTCAGAAATACATCCTGATAGCAAGCCACAAGTGTTTATCAAAATCACGTGGGAAACATTTTTAAAATATACATTTCTAGGTCCAATGTTTCTGAGGTTGGGAAATCTAGACAATTCTGCTGTTGCTCATCCAGAGCACAGTATTTGGGAATCATTGGTCCATTTCTCCACTCCATTACCACTCTTCCCACATAGCAAGCTATTGCCAATGTCCTTTGAAAATACCATCAATTACCATAGAGTTGCCAAATCCATAAGCCTCTTCTTAATCCTCATCCTAACACACCACACTACAGTATTTAATTAAAGTGGACATCTCCTCATTCTTGAAATTGCCCTCATATCACAGTTATTTTTCTTGTTAATATTCCTGGTAGACTTATTCTTTCTGATTCACTCTTCACAACTCATTCACAACTCCTTTTCCAATACCTCACTTTAAAAATAAAAATACTCTTCCAGTTTCTGGGCTCAACCCAGTGCTCTTCTATCTGAATTATTTTACCTAGTCCTTTATCTATAATTATAGTTACCCATTATCTACAGATATTCTGCATTACAATGGCAGAACTGAGTAGCTGTGACAGAGACCGTATGTTTCACAGAGTCAAAAATATTTACCATGTAGCTTTAAAAGTTTGCCAACCCCTATTCCAGGGTAACCACTAAAAAATAGAAAAAAAAAAAGTATAATTTCCCAATAGAGTGAACAAGTAATGTGGTAAAAAATAATCAATTCAAAAAACAAAGCAAGAAAGTTGAGGGTTAGAACAGATAGAACAAGTGAAAAGCAAACAAAATATTATGTTACTATATTAAGTGTAAATGTTCCTGTTAAAAGACAAAGATTGTCAGACTAGGTTTTTAACATCTATATGCTGTTTTCAATAGACACGCATCTGTTAATATAAGGAAACAGAATCAGAAAGAAAAAAAAGAGAAGATATACCCTGTAAATTCTAGCCAAAAGAAAAGTCAGTATAATCCAAAATAACATCAAGCAAAATAGAAAAAGAAAATTGAGTTAAATATCTATTAGATCCCTTTTAGCTCTTATGTACTATAATTCTAGGTTTAGACCTGAGACAAAGGTCTCTGTATATCACTGGTGACACCCTGAAAAGTAGGAAACAGAAAAATACTATAAATTAAGGAAAGTGATAACTGGCAAGTAAGTAGACTACCAGGTATTGAGTAAATATTCTATAAATGAAAGAGACACATGAATAAAATGTTAAGGGTTTGGGAACATATCTTTAGGGCTATAAACAGAATCAAGCATAGAAGCAGATACTGAAAACTTAAGAAAGGAAAGGTCTAACTTATAACCCAAGGTTGTTTGGTAAGCAAGACTAAATGAGATTGAGGTCAAAAGTAGACAAGCCCTGACCAGTATTGCTCAGTTGATTGGAGTGTCACCCCGTAGACCAAAGGGCTGCAAGTTCAATTCCCAGTCAGGGCACATACCCAGATTGCAGGTTCAATCCCCAGTCAGGGCAAATATAAGAAGGCTACCAATCAAGTTTCTCTCTCACATTGATGTTTCTTTCTCTCTTCCCCCCATCCCCTGCTTCCTCTCTCTAAAAAGTGATGAAAAAAACAAAAAGTCCTCAAATAAAGATTAAAAAAAAAAGTAGACAGGTACCTTTCACTATCTCTTCTTGTGGAAAAAAATAATGGGTTGAAAAACAGTTTTGCAGGTCAGATGTGACAGGAGTACATATCAGCTGATAAGCACTAGATATGATATAAGAGCTCCCTTTTACATGTGGTATGTCAAAGCCAAAGGAGCAGAGAGAAAAAACATTTTGTAGTATTTCAACTAAAGAAAAGGTGATGGAAGAAATAAGTTACCATATGACACACTGTAGCACAGGTACATGAACAACTATCAATTTAGTCTGCCCAGTAGGTAATCTATACCTTCTGTGTTTTCCTTTGAAGGACTATTTCTCCTCCCTTGTTATTTGTATTAAACTCATGCCTCAGTTAGGGTAGAAGGGTCATATTAGTTGTGACCCAGGCCTAGTCAGTTTATTCCATTCCCCCTAGCAATGGTGGTGCTCACTATACTGGAACTTTACTGCAACTATTAAGAAAGAAATTTTTTTTCTAGTAGAGCTGCTAATCTAAAAACATGCACATCTGTCACCCCACTCCATGCACAGTTTCATTTTCTGAGATTTTAGTTACCACAGTCAACCACTGCCCAAAACTATTAAATGGAAAATTCAAAAGTAAATAATTCTAAAGTTTTAAATTGTGTGTCATTCTGAGTAATGTGATGAAAGTTTATACCATCCCAGTCCGTCTGGCCCAGGTCATGAATCATCCTTTTGTCCAGTGTATTCCCGCTCCATAAGCTACTCAATCATTAGTCACTTAGTAGCTCATGACTCAATTACCCAGGATCACCCAAAGCAGATAATACTTTTTCTGATATAAAGTCAAAAAAGCCTAACATTATGTCACAATTCCTAAATTATTCACCTCAATTCATCTCATCATATAGGCAATATATCATCTTACATCATCATACGAAGGGTGACCCAAGTGGTTACAGGCATCCACTGGGGGGTCCTAAAACATACACCCCATGGGTAAGGGGGAACTACTGTAAACTTAGAGTTGTTGGCAGCTATCTTCCCTGAATGCATTTAAAAAGCTTCTCTGCTGTAAAAGAGAATGAACACATGGCAAAACCTTTCAAAACTGTTTGAGCCACTGAGAACAGCTATGCCTCAAATACACTCAACCACTGAACTTCCTTATTAAATGTACCAAACAATTCCCTTTTATGCCCTGAGCCACTGTGAGTTTGGTTTCTGTCCTCTGCAATCAAAAGAACCCACTATAGCCCTGGCTAATGTGGCTCAGTGGATTGAGTGCCGCCTGCCTGAGAACCAAAGGCTCTCTAGTTCAATTCCCAGTCAGGGCACGTGCCTGGGTTGTGGGTCTGGTTCCCAGCAGAGGGCAAGTGAGAGGCAACCACTCATTGATGCTTCTCTCCCTCTCTTTCTCCCTCCCCTCCCCTGTCTAGAAATAAATAAAGTCTTAAAAAAAAAAAAAAAAAGAACCCACTACAATAGGTAGCATTTCAGCACCATACCCTTTGAGAATATAGATATCCTTTGTTATCCAAATTTCTGGTATTAAAAAATCTCACTCTAAACTCAGGAACCAAATATATTTGAATAAACTTGTACATACTTTCTTCATTATCATGCTATTTGCTATCCAAACATGAAAATTCAAACAGATTCAAATAAGGCAGTACCTCCAAGACATCCAAATTCACTATTTAAACTAAAGAATTAAACAGAGTTGAATAGTGAAGAATACTTATAATGCCAACTAGGAAGAAATGTGGCAAGGGATGTGCAATATAATGCCAAATGAAAAACCACAAAATACAAAATGGTGGGTGTGTGTGTGTGTGCGTGCGTGCGTGTGTGTATATAGGCAAAAATATTAGGCTTTTGAGAAATCTTCAAAATTTCCTTTTATAGTTTTCACCAAAAATAAGTTTGAAGTGCATTACCTCATTTGAGTTGAACAGCAACTCTCTAAGAGAGGGAACATTACCTTTCCAGTCAGAATATTAAGGCTTACAGAACAAAAAAAAATCTATGAAATTTGTGATAAAAGGTGGCATTTCAAATCAACAGGGAGAAGGAAATTATTCAATAATAATATGGCAATAAATGTGAAAACAAAACTATGCATACAAAGAATTAGCACATTACTGGCACTTACATAATAATCAGACATTCCTGAAGCTTTTATAAAGAAAATTATTCTTTTTATTCTCTATCCCAAAGTAGTTATTTCAAAAGTATATGTTAACAGAAGGAAACAATGTGGTGGACAGTTGCTGTGGTCAGTAGGGTGTGGTTCAGAATAGGTCAGCTTATGATGTTATTCACTGGACTAAGTTAGAAGAGACTAATTATAGAGGAAAACTATGGTGAAGAAAGAAAACAAAGTTGGAAATTACAGTTTCCTTTAAATTAGAAATTCAGTTAAAAGGATGAAACAATGTCCATCTATGGAAAACAACAGTGATTTCATTATAGCTATAAATTTCATGGGGAGAGAGCTATTAAACATTTTGAACTTATTTTACAAAACAACTCTGGGAAAGTGGTGTTCAAGAGCTAATATTCACATTTCTTCGCTATTTTAATACTTACAATTTAAATGTTCTACAAATAAATATAGTTATTAACATAATAACATATAATCACGTATACAAATATATATGCAACTTATTGCCCTAGCCAGTGTGGTTCAGTTGGTTGGAGTGCCATCCCATAACCAAAAGGTTGTGGGTTCAATTCCCAGTCAGGGCACATACCTAGATTGCAGGTTCAGTCCCCAGTTCAGGCATGTACGGGAGGCAACCAATCGGTACTTCTCTCTTGAATCAATGCTTCTCTTTCTCCCTTTCTCTCTCTCTCTGAAAAGCAATGAAAAAATTATCCTCCGGTGAGAATTAAAAAAAAATTTTTTAAGTATGTGCAACTTACATATGTAAATATTTATATTTTTAAACACTACAAATTGTGTGTTTTGCAATGACTGTTTTTCAAAAGTCCCCAAATAGTCTTACAAACCCATTTCCTCCTCTTCTAGGCACACAGCTAGACTATATTTTCCAAGCTTCCTTGCACTTAAGTTACATGTGATCATGTAACCAAGTCCTAAGCCAATAATATTTGCACAGGGGTGATGAACAACCCTTTCAGGCTGAGCCAGTAAAAACCCCTAAAAAGGGAACTGCTATTCCTTCTCTGTTGAAACAATGGATAGGATCCAAGGGAAAGCTCTAAAGTCCTAAGGAATACAGAGCCACTAGATGGAAGGACCCTGGGCCCAAAACGACCACATAAAGAAGAACACCTACCCATCATCTACTTCCAGTCACTTACTTTGGACTGTCAAGTAAATAAGAAATAAAATTTTATTGTGCAGCACTATTGATATTTGGGAGTTGTTTAATTACAGCAGTTAGTCCACGCTGACTAATGCTTTACTATAAAATTTTCCCATCCACTCCCCTTAAGAAATTCTATAAGGACACTCTCCTTATATTCAATCCATCAAAAATAATAATTGGTCTGCCCTTAAAATATATCCTGAATCTAGCCCTTTTTTTAATCATTCCCATCTCTACCACTGTTCTCTCATCTGAATTAGTGAAAGAATGTGATATTCCTTGCTTCTATCATGGCTCCACTACAGGCAGAGTCAGCCTTTTAACAGTAAATCAAAACACGTCACAACCTTCAGCTGCTCTCCGCAACACAAATACCATATTTTTCAGACCATAAGCGGCACCTAGGTTTTAGAGGAGGAAAATAGGAAAAAAATTTTGAAGCAAAAAATGTAAAATATTTAGTAACATAAAAAACAATATATCACTAATGTAAATGTAAACAGAACTCAACAGCAGTATTAACAACCATTATTACTGACTTTAAGTACAGAAACTCCTCTAATTATCAGGGGACCCCAAGAACTCCTCGTCACTACTGTCCACATTTATGAAGCTCAGTTCCTCAGAATCACTAGTATCACTATCTTCACTCTGTTCATAGAGGATGTCATCTTCAGAGCTGTCGAAGGCATTGCTGATGCCACATTTTTTGAAGGACCCCACAACGGTTTCATCCTTAACTGACTGCCATGAGGTTCTCACCCACTCATGAACCTGGGTAATAGTGAGCCTCTTCATTCGTCCAGTTGGTATCAGATCATGGTTTCCAGCAGCCATCCATTTGTTCCACTCTTCTCTCATGAGAACTTTAAATGGCTTGTTGATGGAAACACCCAAAGGTTGCAACTGGCTGATAAGCCCCCAGGAATTATGGCTAGATGGGTTTTCTCTTCTTTAAATCTCTTTTTTGTGGCTTCAGTGATATGTCCCCTAAATTGATCAAGCACTAATAGAGCAAGTTTTTTCAGAAGTCCTCCAGGACATTTGGACCACACTTTTTCTATCCATATCTTCATGCCATTTTCGTCCATCCATCCTTTGTCATGAATATGAACAATAACTCCTCTTGGGATTGCCTCTTTTAGCATGTTTTTCTCTTAAAAATCAGCATTGGTGGCAGTTTGGTGCCATCTGCACAGCAGGACAACACAACCATGTACTGGGTTTTATCATACCCTCAGGTTTTCATGATTAAGGTTTTGGTGCCTTTCATATCAACAGTCTTGTTTGATGGAACATCAAAGGTTAACAGGACGTCATCCATGTTCCCAATCTGGCTTATTTCAAATCCAGTTTTCTTTCTTGCATCCAGTACAAATTTGTGAAAAGACACAATCTTGGATTCATATTCTATAGGCATTTTTCGTGTGTGCAATCCTAGTTTTGGTGCACATAGCAAGGCTACATCTCTTCATAAATCTGTGGCACCATGATGGTGATCCAGTGAAGTCCTCAATGCCTCTCTCTGCAGCAAGATGTTTGTCTTCACATATGATCATTTTTGTAGATACTGAAAAGCCATTGTTCCTGTGATGTGTGATCCACTCTTTCATATCCACTTCTAACTGTGGCCATTTTGCAGCATACCCACAAAAACGTTGCTTTGTTTTGTCCACTTTTTGCCGTTGTTTCCTCCATTCCATATCATTTTTTCAATTGGAGGTGGCCCCAAGTATCTCTCTGCTGCTCTGTTCCCGTGTTCTTGGGCGTACTTAACTACCTCCAGTTTAAAAGTGATTTTATATGAAATCCTTTTCTGCTTTGACATCTTTCCACAATTATAGTAGATTCAGCAGGAGACTACGGTATGCTATAGTATCTTTCTACAACCAAATACAGTAATGACAGAACTATCAGCACTGTGTCCTTAATAGTTATGGGGGCACTATACCTGAGAACATCAGTGGATAACGCACTGTTGTGGGGAGATCTGCTGCTGGAGGGCCACAGGTTGTGCAACACCCTTGTATGGGGACAGCAGTTTTACACAACCTGTGTGGCTATGCAGCTGCTGCCAAATTACAGCTCCGATCCTCCCAACCTGTCCAAGCATGATGGGAGTTGTAGTTTTGCAACAGTTACAGGGCCACACTGACAGGTGACCCTGCAGTGGAATTTGCCTATGTTAATGTTAATGGGGGACACACCACTCACATGATGTAGGCATGTATGGGCACCACAGGTTTTCTTCTCCTAACATGCCTGCACTGCCTGTACCCTCCTCCCTAGCACTATAATATGTCGCAGCAGGGACTCCAATCCTGCCTCCCTTGCTTTGCACCACAGGACACCCCCTCCTCCCAGCCCAGGGCCCACAGCATCACCCCAATCCTGCTGCCACTGGCTTCCTGCAGCGGTGACCCTGCTCCTGCCTCCTGTGACCCCGCTCCACCGTGGCCCCCCCACAGCGAGCCAGATAAGCTACATTTGGACTATAAAACGCACCCCCTCCTCCTCCCAAATTTGGGGGGAAGTACATCTTATAGTCCAAAAAATACAGTAAAAGTGAAACCTCTTACTGGGACCTAACTTCATCTTTCCCTCACTACACTCTAGCCTCACTGGTCTTTTTTATCTGTGTTTAAGCTTATTCCTGCTTCAGGACCTTCACACTTCCTGCTCCCTCTGCCTGGACCTTCCTTCATAACACTGAGGTCTCTGTTCAAATGCCAGCTGTTTAGAGAGGCTTTTTTTTAACTACCCTATCTAAAATAACCCTCTTTCATGACTCTACCCTCCTAATCCTACTGTTTTTTGCCATACATTTTATTAACTTATTTTTACTTGATAATTCCTTATTGTATTTTTTTATTAGTTTGGTCCCCTTATACCCTCCTGTCTCCCACAATCATCACAGTTGTCCATGAGTCCTTTTTCCTTTTTACTCAATCCCTCTACCCCCTTAGCTGTCACCCTGCTATCTATGAGTCTGTCTCAAGAGTCTGATGCACTACATAGATTTGTTTTTTTATTGTCTGACTTCCCCACTAAAGAGTGGCAATCTTCTTCATCAGAGGTATCCACAGCTTTTTTCCTTTCCCTACTGACTTTCTCATCAATATTCATTATTTGACTTCCTGTAAGAGCTGTTTTCAACAATAATTTGAAAATGAGCAAGTAATCAAAGTTCTTTCTATGGAAGTAATTAATGTCACTGATAAAGTAAGCATGCCAAGAAATATATATGGAAGAGTGGCTCTAAAGAAAAGAGGATATCTAAATGATCGATAAGGATATGAAAAAGAACACAACATCTGTTATAGATTAGATTATTCAAAAATATTCAGTACCTCCTAATGTCTGTTGGAGAAGTATGCCTCCAACCCCTTGAATTTGGGCTAAGCCACATGACTTAGTTTGAAGAGTGGGAGGTCAGCATACATGATGTAAACAAGGTCTTGAAATATGCTTAGCCAGCTAGGTATGCCTTCTTGCACTGTGTTGCCACCATGAGAACATGCTTCAAGCTAGCACACTAGTCCCCAGTATATCGGCTATATAGAGCAGGGCTGTCCCAGCTGACCCACAAAATCATGACCAACAAATAAATACTACTGTATATCACTGGCAATTTTCAAGTTGTTCATTAAGCAGTAATAGTTGACTAATACAATATCATGAGTCATCAAAGAAATGCAAATCAAAATGACAATGAGCTACTACCAAACCCCCACCAAAATGGCTTATGTCCATTAAAATATATGTGCAAAAATATTCACTGCCATGTCATTCAAAAAATAGCCCAAAATAAAAAACAATGAAAATGTCCATCAACAGTAAAGTTAATAAATGGAATATATACAGTAATAAAGCATTAAAAAAAAAACAAACTGCCCTGATTGGTGTCGCTCAGTGGGTTGGGCATTGTTCACAAACCAAGGGTTGCCAGTTTGATTCCCAGTCAGGGCACATGCCTGGGTTGTGGGCCAGGTCCCTGGTTGGGTGCATGTAAAAGGCAACCAATCGATGTTTCTCTCCCTCTCTTTCTCTCTCCCTCCCCCTCTCTCTAAAATAGATAGATAAAATCTTTTTAAAAACCTGATGATACAACAATATAAATTTCACAAACATGATGTTAAGTGATAAAAGCCAGGTACAAAAAGATACATATGGTATTATCCCACTTATATGAAGTTCACAAACAATAAATAAATCTATGATTTATAAAGTTCAGAAGCATGGTTCCCTTTTGAGAAGATGAGACATGGAGGCAGAGCACAAAAAGAGTCATATGGAGTTTCATAAACATGTTATATCTTGATCTGGGAGGTGGATAAGCTGATATATACACATAATTTTTAAATTATGAACACTGAAGACTTGCACACTTTACTGTATATCTCAATACAAAAAGGAAAAACTTTGGCATAACTAATGAGATTTGTTATTTAATGTTAAAACGGTATTTATGCAATAA